CCCTCCCCCCATCTCCCTCCTCACCTCCTCCCCCCTCCCCCCTCCCCCCTCCCCCCTCCCCCCACTACCTTCCCTCCCCCCCTCCCCCCGAAACTTTCCCCCTTCTCCTTCACACAGTTTTCTCGCATTCCACATCGCCATGCCCCCTCTCAAGGAATACCTCCTTCGTTAGCTTCCGAATCAGCTGATGAGAGGAAGAGAAACACTAGAGTTGGCTAGAGAGAGATGAAGCATGATGGAAAACGCAGGAATAAGACGAATAGAAGATACACAAGTAAGGGAGAAAATGGCAAAAGTAAGTAAGCAACACACCAGAAAAAGCAGCAAAACCAGAATAATGGCATGCAGTGAGCAAGCAATCTCATACACCATGTCGCATCATCGTAACGACCTACGCACTCAATCGCAAGAGGCTGTAGCCCAAGAAAGCAACCTAAGCACTTGGTCGCAATGGGTTGCAGCACAAGAAAATGACCTAAGGACTCGGTCGTAGTGGGCTGCAGCCCAAGATGGACCTGAACTGACTGTCAAAATGGGTTGTAGCACTAAAATTGACCTAGGCAATAAGCCCATCAGCCCTAGCATTCAAAATAATAAGAAACAATTCTTAGCAATAGCAGTTCAAAGTTCAAGATCTAAACAGAAATGCACCACTGATCAATTGTAAAACATCTCGGCAACTTACCAAGGATGACTCTAACAAGAAACGGCAGAAATGGAAAAGGAGCGGAAAGAGGTAGAGAGGGAGAAAAGAGGTGTGCCTAGCTGTAGCAAATCTCGTCTGCAGTTGGTGGTATGCTCGCTCCCGAGTAGTTGCACATACCCTTGCTTCTACATCACCCCATTTCCTCATCTCTCTCCCGCCTCCCATCGCAGCAACAACTAGGCGACACCACGCACGCACACCACCCTCGCCCAGCGCCACACGGGCAAGATGCAATGCGTCAACGCCTAAGGAGCCAGCGCAAAACGCGCCAACGCCCAACGCGTCAGCGCGAAACGCGCCAACGCCCACGGCGACTGCGCAAAACGCACCAACGCCCACGGCGCCCGCGGCCCAAATTGCGAGGCGCGGCCTTCAAACGCACTGCATTTGAAAGTCGCGTTTTCGTGGGTGTAGATGGGGGTAACGTGACCCGCGTCATTTGGGGGTGGTTTTCAAGTTCAGTGCAGAAGGTATTTTGGGACACCAAGTGCCTTACATTTCTTTGACGTCCATTTTTTGTGGATTTCCATCTGACGGTGCGCAAGCAAAGTGCTTCCCCCCACAGGGCCTCAGATTCGTTTAGAGGCACCCTGATAGCTCAGGGCCCCCCCACCTTGGTCTCCTGATTATTCAGGCCTCTCCAAAAAAAAAATCCTGGTCCATCAGGGTCCCTCTAAAATTTCACGTTGAGTAAACATGATTATACACAGAAAGCACGCTGTGTAATATATGCCTAGGTAGCAGGGTTCTCAATGGCAGCAGGCGCAGAGGGACGAAGGCTAGGTTTGGGCTCTGAACGTACGACCGCATCGGAAACAAGAATGGCCAGTCGCATTCAAGCCGGCGGGATTGACAAGGGGCGGTTGGGTAAACTTACGGAAATCACGGGTGGAGGGGTGGGGGCTGCGAATCTGCTATTATACGAATCTGGACAAAAAGGGCTCACTATACTAGTAACGCTGATCGATCAGAGTTAACTACTAAAAAAAGCCAAAATTTCAGGCCTGTGTTTTAAAAAAATCCTGTCTTATCAAGGTCACCCCCCAAAAAAGCCTTGATTTTACCCTAAATCAAGGTAAAAAGCCTGCAATCTGAGGCCGTGTTCTCCAGTCAATCTAAATGTAATCTCAGCCGTCGCACTTCGTGCAAAAAAAACTGACGGTCCACGACAAATTGTGAATTCGCGAGACGAAACACCCTCACGATTTTCCGCGTATTTCGTCCAGGCCGAGGCTCAAAGTTCAAACGCAACGCGTAGGAACAATTTGGGCCGCGGGTTTTAATACTAAAGGAAAGGAAGAATTCCCATACTGCACCTTTCATTTTAATATCTGCGCAACCCATCCGACGGAACTCGTCAAGACTTGCTTTTGTTTGTAAGGGCGTGTCCAGCGCGTACGTGTTTTGTAAAAAAAAACTACCCAACCGTTTTAGATTTGTTATCAATCCTTCTGACCCGTGAGGCACCTCACCTAACCGCAATCAAACGTACGCGCTGGACACTCGCTAATCGAATGCTGTTAATGGAACTGTGCCTTCTGACGTCATTGGCATGTCTAGTCAGCAAAATGAACGCTTAGGACACGCCCTGACCTGTCTTACCGTAGAGTCAAGTTATGAGATCCTGTTCTGTACTACAGAACAGGCAGAAACAGGCTGTGAGAAGCTAGAAGGTCATGAGACGAACAAAAAAGGGGAGTTTGAAACACTGTCGACACAATTTCTCCAGCTTCATGTCGAGATGGGGAGGGATGCAACTCCCTTCTTGTCTACGGATGCGGTTATGAAGATGCATCGACTGTACTGAAATTTCTCAGTTTGGCGGGATTTGTGTCAGCTCATGTCAGCGCAGTTTTTGCAAGCGTGATATGGGGCAGAGAGGGTGGGAAACTGCTGCTCCTTGTCTGCACACCACTGCGAATCCGAATCGCGGACTGTGTCTTGGCCGCCAAGACTGCAGCAGCTTTCATGATGGGTGGACCGAATGTTGGTGCCGGATGAGTTGATCTGTGGGGCGGCGGCACACGGAGAAAACTCGCTTTTTTGTGGAGAGAGCAGCAAGGCCTTGTCCTCAGAGAAATTTTACTGTACATATCTTCTCTGACAGTTCAGGGATCAACACCGAATCGTATTGGCAAATGTAAACATCCTCAGCTTCGGAAAGAGAGCTCCCACCATTTTGAAATGCACCAACACACTTGGCATACAGGCTGGCTGCCCAAAAAACAAATATATATTCACGGCGCCACAATAAAAAAAAATCAAAGAAAAATCAAAGAAACTAGCAGCATGTGGCTGTCACGAAATTCGCGAACATAAAATTTATTGCAAAAACACCCCTTTCAAGACTGTCAGGTTTCGCACACAAGCTGGGGGCAGCTGATGTCAAGTCTTTTCGTCTGGGACAAGTGCCCTGAAACTCCTCTCGACTCCAAATACTGAATGGTTTTGAGTTCCCATGCTTAACACATGGGCACTTTTGGCGAAACTGGTTACACCTAGCTTGCGGTATTTTCACACCCAGTATTTTCACAGGGGATGCTGCCGAGAGGGCATACACCCCCCGAATGCAGCTCCTGAAGACCAGACCCGGATACCCTTGAAAAACAATTTGAGCTTGGGTTTCTCTACGGAACGTTTACTGCTCGATTTAGTGTTTCTCGAGTCAGGAAACCCGACTTCAGCTTAGGCAGTGCTCCCAGTTTTTGCCCGCGTGGAGTCTGCCAAGCTTAGGCCGTAGGAACAAGGGGGTTCTGTCCACGCACTCAGAAATGGTCAGGGTGAAAACAAAAAAACATTCTGCGGTCCAGTTTCAGGGTGTTAGTTTAACGCGGGCTAAGTGTAGTCTGCTCGTTTCATCAGGCGCCAATACAGAGAATCATCTGCCTGCACCACTGGGTGGCCCACACACTGTACATGTGACATGGATGTCGGAACTACTCGCGCGAATCTCGAACCATGTGTGAACTGAATGTTTGGCGAAATGTTATGACACTCCAAGCAGCGGCTGTCACTAGAGGTCGCTTTCGGATTGTCAAATACGGTTGAGTGCGGTGCTTTGCCTCTTAAAAGGAGTCGCCTAGCATCTGTAATGGTTGAAATATTCTTTAGAACGCGAACCTTGGTGGCACAGTTCTCCTGGTTCCAAACAAAAAAAAAAAAAAAAAAAAAAAAAAAAAAAACAAAACAAAACAAAACAAAACAAGAGGCGACGAGATCGTCTTAGGGTTGCGGAGCATTTCATGATGAGACTTTATTATACATAAAATGTTTTATTTCCATCACAACAAACATTTGATTTTTATTTCACAAACTTGAAAAAAAAAACCAGCCCGATCGATTGCAATAGGTTGCTCCACAACCCAAAAAAAAAAAAAAAAAAAAAAAAAAAAAAAAAAAAACCGTTACCAGTTTCTGAGGAGCCATTTCCCGCCTTCACCTGCCCGTGTCAGAGCTATCGGTCCCATGATAGTCCCACTGGATGTGGGAAAATAGCACCGTGACCTATGGGAATTATTTCAGCAATCGGGTGTACACTTGACGAAAACATGCGGCGGAACTTTGACTCATTTCTTAAAGCTCCTCAATATGCAGATATGCAAATTTAATGCGTACTCACATTGTTTTTTGCTTATCCGCGTGTCAAATTGCGAGTCAGAATTACCTCGCGTCCGTAATTGCTTGAAACTGTTGACATGAGGTAATTTGCCTGTTACAGTGTGTGCCCCTTCGTGTCAAATGGCCTGACACGCGCATTTGACCCGTTGCAGACCTCTTCCAGAGCCAGATCCCAAAATGATCGCAGGCAGCAGGATGGGCCATTTCAGGGCATGTGGAACGGTCCAGTAAGACGCTGACAAGGGACATTGTCAGGCCAGAATTATGTTGAACAGTTTTTTTTTTTCAAAGTCCGCGGGTAGAGTTGAAAACTTCCTCTCGCCTGGCTGCGGATCTACAGAATGTCTGAACTTCCTGCTGCACAGAACAGGCAGCAGGTGGATAGAGGGATTCCACCAGCGCCGCCATCCATCGGGGGAAGCCAGCGACTTGCCTCACAGAGTTCGGGGCTGTATGCCATTTTTCTTCTCCGCCGCCCCCGGCCTGCCCGGTTTGGCCCGCTCCGCCACCGCCAGCCCATTTCCCCCGCAACCTCCTCCTCCCACGCACTCCTGTCCTGCTGGCGCAGGTTCTCCTTTTCAGAGCCCATAGGTTCTGCCACCATCCCTGGCTGACTTGCTCCATCTGCAACTCGATGAATCGCGATCTCCCCTACATCTCTGACTGCTTCAACCAGACCTGACTCCCCTCCCCTCCCGATTCAATCTCCAGCATCCGTTCCTTGGGCTAATCCGGAGCATAGAGGGTGCTGGGGTTCCCCAGCTTCAAGTGCTGAAGCGCTCTCAGTTTTTTTCTTGTATTGTAGTCCATCCGTGAGCTTGTCTGCTGTACGACATTCGGTCATTCCTGATGCTAGACTGATACCGTTTGTCCAGACCACTCGCTCTCGGAGCATATTCCTCAGACTTCTTACGCCTTGCATGGCATCGTTTCGTGCCATGACTCCCAGTCCTACGAGCAAGGCTCAGGATGCTGGGGGTCGAGGAGGCTCGGCTAAGCGACCGTCCGATGCTTCCTTCGCTAACAACAAGCGTCAAGCCTTGTCGAATCGGACGAACCACGTTGCTCCGTCGGCAGTCATCTCGCCATCGCAAGTCCGTTCCCATGCCATACACCCATCGCTGCGACTGAATGTCTCTTTCACGGCGTGTGATTCTCGCGTAAAGCTCGCTTATTTGGTCCCTCTTAGCGAACTGATTCGCTTCTCGGACGCTACCGTGAATCAGTTGACTGACGTTGCTCTCGAATCCTTCCTTTATCACATCCATGCGTCCGGTCCAGTCGAAATTACGGCGGCAATACCTCGTTACTGGAATCTAGACACCCGGTCCATTCCTTGTTCCGTGCTTCTTGAAAGGCACAAGGCTTCTGAACTCCCTCTGGTTCCAGTATCAGCACATCGTGATAGTTATCAGGTTACCTTGAAATCTCTCGGAATGTTTCAGTTTATGCACCGTCGGCGTGGCTCCGATGTTTCGTTATGGTCTTGAAACTGGATCGGGTAGCCATCATTCGGCCATTCGACTTTTCCGGTTCTCGTTCCTTGATTAGCGGCATGACAGGAGATTCTCGTAGATCTTAAGCTTCCTTTTCTGTACAGGTCACGATTTTTCACGATGTCAGCGACAGACGGTGGACGTACCTGCATCCTGATCTTCCTCGTCACGGCTTCCTAACATGCTTCTCTTCTGATCCTCTATCGTCCTCTTCTTCCCCTTTCATCTGACGCATGGCTTTCCTTCACTTTCCAGGATCAGACACGTAAGAAAACCCGAGGATCGAGCCATTCGCGGTCGGCCATAAAGCGTCACGGTTCGTCTGCAGCGGCAGCGACTGCTGCATGCACCAGAGTCACGCGATCGACGTCGCAGCAGGCGTCGCAGGCCGTCGCACGGAAGCAGCACATGGTTGTAGTCGTATCTGCATCCCACGGTGACCAGGCCCAGTCGCAGCGACCGACGCATCAGCATCAGCATCAGCATCAGCATCAGCATCAGCAACAGCAGCTGGCGGACCGGAGTCACTGTAACGGTGGAAGACTTCCTGATTTCCGCGACCTCCCTGCGCCAGCGGCATGCCCCGCTTCCCCCGCTCGCGCTCGCGCAATCGCCGCGCCAGGCGCAGCGGAGCTAGCAGGCGCTTCCGCAGCCTCCGGAGGAGCCATTGCCGGTCACGCCCAGGATGGGACGTGGCTCAGAACTGATGCCAAGTCATCATGCCCTGGCGTGAATGGCGGGGGGTTGCTTATTCCAGAGCTGCACGCTGCGGGATCAGCAGCGGCGTTTGCGTTCGCGCAACCGCAACCGCAGCATCTGCATACGCACGACCGTGCGCATGTGCCAGCGCTAGCGCCCGGAGGAGAGCACCTGCATTGGGGCGCGCACGCGCAGGCGTACCTGGCGGAGGCTGCGCTGCTCTCTACTGAGGGCAGCATCGGCGGATCAGCGGAGCGACATCAGGCGCGGTATGGGGAGAAGGCGGAGACAGCAGGGGGAAGCGCGAACGGCTTCGTGTCGGTCCCCGTGGCGAATGTCCTGCCGCATGGGAAAGGCCATGGCTCGGCGCATTTCACGGCGAACGTTCCACTGCATAGCGCCGCTGCTGCCACAGACAGATCGGCAGGGTTCAGCGATTCCGCAGTACCAGTGACGTTTGCAGCAGCGGTTGTCGCAACGGCGGCGGCAGAAGCGGCGTTACGCCACCCCCTTCCGTTTTCCGCAGTGCCTTGCGCCGCCATGCCCGCGAGTTCCGCCGCGGCTGTCCCGGCTACGACCACTCTTTCCCTTCTCCTACCCAGTAGCAGCAGTGGTGGCTGCAGCGCGGGGAGCGTGGGTGGCGCGGGGGACGTGATGGGAAGCGCGGCGCAGGCGCAAGCGCAGGCGAGCGCAGCGGCGATGGATTCGATCAACCGGAAGACGGAGCGGGTGCTATGCATCTCCAGTGTCGTTCCCGGGAGGGACGGGGAGCGCCAGGGAGACATGGAAGGGGCCCTTACGGAGGGTCCGCGGGAGGAGGGCGCGGGAGAAGCGCGCCTGGCGGTAACGGCTCACCCGTCGCTTTCCGCCAACTGCAGCAGCCAGTGGGCGCAAGCGGTGGAGGTCTCTGGCGCGGCTGGCCTGGCGGAGGCGAATGCGGAGCAGGATGCGGGTGTTAGCGCGCCGGGCGCAATAGCGGGCGCGGGCGCGGGAGGAGATGCGGTGAAGGTTCGGAATATTGACTCGGCGCATGGGGATCCCCAGATGTGCACGACGTATGCCGCGGAGATCTACTCGAACCTGAGGGACGGCGAGGTCAGCCCCTGCTCTCTCTCCCTCGCTCTCCCTCTCTCTCGCTTTCTCTCCCTGGCTCTCACTCACTCTCTCCCTCGCTCCCTCGTTCCGTCTCCTCTGCTCGCTCTCTTGTTTTCCAGGTGGGTTGCACGAGGATTCTGACTCCCTCCCCCTCCCTCTCTTCCCCTCTTCCCTTCCCTCTCCCCTTCCCTCTTCCCCTCGCTCTCCTCTCTTATCCCCTCCCTCGGCCCGTCTCCCCCCCTCTCTCCTTCCCCACAGAGGCGGCAGCGGCCGTCGATGGCGCTATTGGAGGGCGGGGAGGGACAGGGTTCGGGGGACATCAGCGCTGGGATGCGCGGCATTCTGATGGACTGGCTGGTGGAGGTGGCGGAGGAGTACAAGCTCGTGCCCGACACGCTCTTCCTCACCGCCGCCTACATCGATCGCTTCCTCTCTAAAACCACCGTCACGCGCAACCACCTGCAGCTCCTCGGCATCGCATGCATGCTCATCGCCTCGTAAGCCACCCCCACTCGCAGCTCTTAACCCGCCTTTCCCTCTCCTCGTTGATTCTCCCCACGTCTACCTTCCTGTCCCTCCCTGCCTTTTCTTCCCCCGCTTCCTCTATCCCTCCCCCGCTCCCTCTCTCCCTCCCTTCCTAACCCCCAACGTCTACCCGCCTCCATCTATCCTGCAACCATCCGTCCCGATTCGCGTCCTTCAAACCATGCTTCCGTTGCCCTCGCCTCTTGTCCATTTACACTGTTCTTGCCATTGCGCCTCATATGCATCCGTCACCATCCCTTTCCTCGTGCTCCTCTCCCCCCACCAACCCCCCCTCCCCCGGTTTCTCCCCCCTCTTGCCTCTCGTTCAGCAAGTACGAGGAGATCTACGCGCCGCAGGTGGACGAGTTCTGCTACATCACGGACAACACGTACCGCCGCCACGAGGTGCTGCACATGGAGCGCCGAGTGCTGGGCGTGCTCGAGTTCGACCTCAGTACGCCCACAGTCAAGAGCTTCCTCAGGCGCTTCATCAAAGCTGCCCAGGCTGCCCTTCCAGTAAGCTCTCCCTCCTTTGCCTGCGATCCCATGCCGCCCTTTCTCCTCGCGAAAATGCTTATCCACATGCTTCCTGTGGCCCTCCCTTTTCCATTCTGCTCTCCTGTTCCGCCGCCTCTGCCCCTTCCTCAGTATCTCCCTCTCTGTTCAATAACCTGCCCTTTCGGTTTCTCACATTTCCTTGTGTTTTTTCCCTTCTGCTTCTCCGCGCGCCTTTGTTCCAACAACAGAGCCCTCAGCACCACCTGGAGTTCCTGGGCAATTACTTCGCAGAGCTCACTCTCGTGGACTACCCCTGCCTTCGCTTTCTCCCCTCACAAATCGCTGCCGCAGCCGTCTTCCTTGCCAAGCTCACCCTCTACCCGTCCCTCGCACCCTGGGTAAGGCCCTACTCTCGCCTGGGTAAGGCCCTACTCTCACTTTCTTTTCCAGGATTTACCTTCATCTGCTCGCCTGCTACAACAGTATCTTCTGTTGCTGCCTTTGACAGCTTCCCTTCGTAGTTGCCCTCTATAATGTTGCCCTGTGCGTTCGTGCTCTGTTTTCTCCCCCTTTCCTCTCTCCCCCACCTGGCAGGACGCCACGCTGCAGCACTATACGGGGTATGCGCCCTCGCAGCTCAAGGAGGCGGTGGTTGCACTCTACGACTTGCAGCGCAATGTCAAAGGCTGCACGCTCCCTGCCATTCGGGAGAAATACCGTCAGCCCAAGGTTAGCTTCACCACAAGCTCCCTCAGTCTCTTGTTCTCAACCTCCCCTCTCCCTCCTGCTTTCCCTTCTCTCGTGTCCTGTTGTTCTCCGTTCTTTCTGCCTGAGTCGTCTGTGTATCTTAGTTTTTTCATCCGCCGGCACCTCCTTCCATTCTGTCCTATGTGTGCAGTTCCAAGGCGTGGCTTTGCTGCCGCCTCCAGCGGATCTACCAGACCACCTATTCCTGGACTCGTAGCTCCCTGGTGGCTCTACGGCACAGGAGAACACTCTGCCACCGCTTCCCTGCTTCACTGCTTCATGACATTACCGCCACCTTCCCAGCTACTCCCATCACTGCTGTCCTTCTGCTCCTGCTGCTACCGTGCCCACGCTTTGTCGTGCACGCTCTTTCCGACTGGAACTATGAGTACTGTCGTTACTCCATGTGTCCCATGAGTACTGTTCAGCAGCCTCCCCTGCGTCGGTTCGTATCCCACCGTCAGTGCTGAAGGTCTTTGCTCTATCAGCCATAGGCATGTGGATTCCAGCAGCAGCAGCAGCAGCAGCAGCAGCAGCAGCAGCAGCAGCAGCACAAGGGTATATGCTCAGCTCATAGCACAAGGCCACTCTACTGGTCATTCCACCTCATATGTTATTGGGTCATTCCACTCAACTGCTCCATCTTCTACAGGCTATCAACTGCTCCTTGCCCATGCTCCTCATGGGCATCCACTGCAGTTCTCACGTGTACCTCCCTACACTAGAGCCTGGGCATAGCGGCATGATCCATAAGCCAGAGATTTCGTCTTGGCCGCTGTTTCCTGGTGCACTTTCTAGCTGCTCCATTAGTTTTTCTTTCGTTTCATTAGAGCTAGGACCCTGCACAGCGTTACTTCTTTTTCCTTTTTTTTGGTGCTGGGTACAGCACACCTTCCGCCCCTTCTTCGATACCTTCCCCCTCACTGCTTCCTCTTCTAGTCTCTTCCTTTCGTCCCCTCGCTCTAGGCTACCTCCTATCTTTCGCCCATCTCTACACATCCTCCCCCCCCCCCTCCCAAACCCCACCCCATCCCCCCCCTCCACCCCTCCCCACCCCCAGCCTTTCTTGTTCGCACAACTTATATATTATCCTAAATGTTTCTGTTTATTTATGATGCAACAAAGCATCAGCTTTGGACATAATAGGGTGATTATAGAAGTCAAATGTATGCCTTGGTGATATTATATGAGCATTAAGTAGTGATGAACGAATGGCATTGGGATGAGATGAGAGGCTCCCTCACTTTCTTTTCCTGTTGTACGCATATAATGCATTGCTTGCTGTCCCTTTGCCAGCTTTCTCATGTTAAAACTAGGGTCTAGGTTTTTTCTCCTGTTTTGCAAATGAAAGCCCCCCCCCGCGATGTGATTGGATTACGAGGGGCGAAAATTCTCAAATCTGTCAAGTCTCGCTAATTTCGTCAAACTTTTCGTCAAATCTGGCAGCTTGTGGGCCACACAAATTTCGCACGTGTGAATCCTACGGAAATGCTAGACCCTATATTCCTAATAACGAGTACGTGTCCGCCAGCTGATAGTTCACAGCCATAGATTCCTCCAAGCTTGCACGCCGCACCGTTGACCACTAGGTATGGACCTTAGGGAATGACGGCCGTTTTGCAGAACAATGGCTGGCGGAGGTCCTGTTAGAGAAGCTATTACAGCAGACTGCAAGTAGGAACATTCATGAGTCCAGACCGGTTTTGTCGAAAGTTTCCGCGCCCGTTACTAGAGCCGAATTTCATCATTTGCTGGTGATGTGTCATTGGAGGGACGCCATGAGCCACGATGAGCTTCTAAGCCCTGTTGGTCTCCGCAAATCGGTCGCTTTTCAATGGCTCGCAAGGCTCACTACCGGAACAAGTGTAGAGTCCACAGAAGCCATGGCTCCGTAATGGTCAGGCTGGCGCGCGAAGTGGTCTGTAGAAGCAGCAGATCCGATTAGAGCTGGCACCTCGACAAGGTGATAGGCGCATGATAAACGATGACCTCAGATTGTAGGTGTTTGAAGGTGTTTGTAGGTATTTGTAGCTTTTCTTAGGTATTGTTCTTCTAGGTATTACTTTATTGAAGTTTAGCTCGTAGAGTCTCCACTTTCGATCATTCATGCGATAAGTCAGGACCATAGATTCGCCTGCAGACATTAATCTTCACATCAGGGCGTAGAAGGAGCAACTGCCATTATTTTACGGGACTAGAAGCCGAGAATCCGCACATTAGTAGTAACAGTTACGAGCGAGTTAATATTCTCCGTCCAATTAAGTCTCGAGCATCCAGTCGTACAAGCAAGGGAAGAACTTACATCCAGAGGAGAACGTGGGAGGGGGGAGTGCGAGCGGTTTCAGTGACTTGTACGTTCCGTCGTAGTAACACATTCTGCAGACATCTCGGGTTTCTGCATCTCGGGGCATTGTACTGATTCCCAAATTCCCAAATTCTTTTTTGCATAGCGTCGCTTTCTACACTTTCGCAGCCATTACACCTTTTAACGACGCAATCTCCAAGCCCATGCATTCCATTCATTGCACAGGTCTCCTCCCTGAGGGTGCTGCGTTCCCGCAAGTGTCACCTCAAGTGTCACCTCAAGTGTCACATCAAGTGTCACCTCAAGTGTTACTACGATGGAGACTCGTTCGGAAAGCCCTCCTCTCGCCGCCTCCCTCTTATCTCGAGCCATGACTTTCCTCCCGGGTCACATTAAAGAGCAACGTGAAATGTTCGTAGCCAATCACTTATCTCGGCTCTTTTCCGGGTTACTTCCCTCACACCCTCAACCACACACACACACACGCTTCCTTCTGCTATATTTTAGGCAGATTCCTCGTTTTCCTCTCCATTTCAATTTCCAACCACTCCCCCCTTCCCTCCCCTCCCCTCCCCTCCCTGCCCCCACCCCCTCTCTTCCTCAACCTCTCTCCAGCTCCTCGTGCTCTATGTTGCTGAATGTCTGCCTTTGCCACATATGCGCTCTCGTTTTCTCTCTGCTTGCGCTGTTCGCTTGTTGCGCCCAACCCCAGTTACCTTCCACTGCTCTGCTCTCGCACTGCAAGCTTTCGTCTAGCGTCGTTTAGCTGCCTTTGCGCCTTTGCGTCCACTGCACTGCCGTCGTTTAGCTTTCTTATGCGTACGGTGTGCGCTTGTTACTGTGGGATATGGACGATGAAGGGGTATGATTCCTACCGGGACTGTTGGGTGTAACACTATGGCTGGTCGGTGCGTTGTGGTCATTTGCGGTGCTTTGTGGTGCTTTCCTGGATGCAGGTTTGTGAGCGGTCACACGGGGACGTCTATGTTCCATGTCTCTGTCCTGGTCACCATCGTATTCGTGAGTGATGCTTTACAATTGTCACCTGGCACTTACTGAAACTGCTGTGTCTTTCGTACTTTACATGCCCGTCTGAATGCACCACATCCCCATGCGTTTCGTGTACGACATGCCAATTTATTACATCTCCATGCAAGCCCTGTGCCACTCTCTAATGGCGGCCAACAGCGCCAATTGCCGTGTCCTTGCTTCTGATATGCCGTCTCATGCATTCAGTGCAACTTGCAACATCCCATGCCACTGCATTGCATCTCACACTTCCTCTTTACCTCCCCTTCCCCCCACCCCCCTCCCACCCACCCACCCTCGACTTCGTCCCACTCCCTACACTTCGTCCCTCCCTCGCCCCTCCTTCCCGCCCCTTGCGCCCGCAGATGCTCTCTTCCCAACGCCAGCTGCTGCCGTTTCTCCCACCTTGCTTAAGGCCTCCAGAGGTGAGCTGGACTTACAGGCAGGCGCACAGACGGGCAGGTGTACAGACGGGCAGGCGCACAGGCAGGCAGGCGTACAGGTAGGCAGGCGCACAGGCAGGCAGGCGCACAGGCAGGCAGGCTCACAGGCAGGCAGGCGCACAGACGGGCAGGCGCACAGGTAGGCAGGCGCACAGGTAGGCAGGCGCACGGGCAGGCAGGCGTACAGGCAGGCAGGCTCACAGGCAGGCAGGCGCACAGGCAGGCAGGTGCTACAGACAAGCAGGCGCACAGGCTGACCAATGCTCCCTATCCAGAGCACGATGCTCTGTTTGGCGCCCTAGCATGCTACTACTCCTTCCTTTGGCTACCACTAAGTAGGTGGTCCTTGCTCTTTTCTCTCACCCTCTTCTGCTCTTTTCTCTCACCCTCTTCTGCTCTTTTCTCTCACCCTCTTCTGCTCTTTTCTCTCACCCTCTTCTGCTCTTTTCTCTCCCCTTCTTTCCCCTTTGTCTTCTCAGCTTTCTATCCTTGGGTTGCAGCTTGCTTCATTTGTTGTGGCTGAATTTTGTAGATTTAGAAACTTTAAGAAATTTTTAGGGGGGGGGGAAACAAAAAAAAGGGGCTGTTTTCTCCTCATCCTCTGTATTTCTCTCTCTTCTTTTTTCTTTTGCCTTCTCTGCATGGCCTCCTTGCAGCTTCCGATCCCCGGGTTGCAGCTCGCTGCATCACTGGCAGCAGATGCTTTCTTCGTCATCATCCCCTCCCTCCTCACTCTCACGGTACCTCTCCTAAACAGAACAGCACCCTCATAGAGACAGAACGAGTTGTGACCGCAGCAAGCCAACGGACGTCACGTGTGGTAGAAAAATATAAGGGTGCTAGGATGCATGCTTCGTCATCATCATCCCATGGCTCCTCACTCTCATGGTACCTCTCCTTCACAGCACCCCAAATTCCTCCTTTCTACACCTCATCGATTACACAATTGTTCCTCCCTCTCCCCCTCCCCGCCCTCCCCTCTCATTCTTGCTTCATACCAGCATTTTTTTGCTGAAATTTGCAGCCACAATACATCCCTTTGTTATACTCCTGTTCACTCCTCCTGTTTCTCATGCCCAACTGTCTTTGTCGTTGTAATTGCTCGTTCCGCTATCTGGCCCGCAGGTTTTGAAAGACCACCTTACAATCACATTCATTATAATCGCAATCATTCTTATGGCAACAGCAACACTGGCAGCCCTAAATACTTCTGGGTGAGTTCTCGCCCTGTCTTTCACCCTGCCTTATCTGCCTACTCTTCCCCTTTATCAGCTCATCTTCCTAGCAATAACCTCTCCTATCATCCCTCTTCCCACCCATATGGTTCGTTCCATCACTCTCCAGTACCACTTGCATGGCAAGACACCCACTCCTTGAGTCGGCGCACCATGCTTCCCTTTCACCCCATGCACCCCATGCACCCCATGCACCCCATGCACCCCATGCACCCCATGCACCCCATGCACCCCATGCTTCAGAATGCTCTTAAATCTCAAGCGTTTATGCACTAAATTCCATTTGCTCCCTGTGCTCCAACCTGCTTGCTTCTCTCCCCTTCTGTGTGTGTCTCTTCGCCTGCGCATGCGCATCCCTTTGCATGCCTCTCTCCCCCTCTGCACCCCTCCATACCGTGCGTAGCCCTTCTCTTCTCCACGGCTCCTCATGGCCCCTGTCGCCCCCATCCATCACGGATTCCGTTGTCACCTTCAGAGCAATCCTGGTGAGACCAAGTGGCACCTACTTGCGTCCTCTCTCCGCTCTTTGAGTCGACTCAAAAGTGACTTGCGTCCTCTCTCCGCCCTCCTCCCCCCATCTTCCTTGCCTCCCTCCCCCCCTGCACACGCATTCACGTCCTGTCTCAATGATGCCGCGTGGCATGCATGCCTATTCCCACAGCCACCGTCCTGTCAACCTCATCTGCTGTTGCTGCCATTATGCCATCCTGTTGCCCTCTTACCCTCGCACCTGCCTTTTTGGTTACGACCGTATTAAAACTTATTAAACTCCTCGCACCTGCCTTGTCTTCCCCCCACCCCAGATGCTGCTAACATGCACGGCAATTCCAACAGGCGGTGGACTGTGACATGACGTCTTCCCACGTCCTACAATGTCACCCCGTCACGCTCTCACCTTCCCACCCTATCACTTTCGCACCCGCTCATCTGCCACCACCCATGTTCCCCCCTCCCCCACAGATGCTGCTGACGTGCACGGCCATTCTGGCTGTGGACTTTGACATCTTCCCACGCAACTATGCCAAGACAGAGTACTACGGCACGTCCCTGGTCAGTCAGTCAGTCTGTCAGTCTGTCAGTCAGTCAGTCTGTCAGTCTGTCAGTCAGTCAGTCAGTCAGTCAGTCAGTCCGGCCCATCCACCTCCCTGGTTTGTCCCATCCCATGCACCTCCCTGGTCCACCCGCTTCACTGTATCCCTGGATTACTGACTAACAGATTAGAAGCCTGACCCCGATTGGTTCTCAGCTGGTCGCCGCTGGCACCTAAATTTTTTCCGCCCCGATCCCACCCACGTAGCATGTACCATCCACTTTCTTTCTGCTCGATCCATCAGTTTGTTCCTTTTGCTCACAATCTTCCTCTCACTACCCTCTCAATACTCTATCACCACCTTCCCACTCACCGCCCTCTCTCTCATCACCCTCCCTCTCACGCCCCCTCCAACCTCCTCCGCCCCTGCAGATGGATCTGGGCGTGGGCATGTTCGTCATTGCCAACACGGCCTCTCAGTTCGGATCGGCCAGGGTCAAAACGCTTGCTGAAAGAAAAGCACACACATCCATGTGAGTGCATGCTTGCAGCCATGTGAGTGCATGCTTGCAGCCATGTGAGTGCATGCTTGCATCCATGTGAATGCATGCTTGCATCCATGTGAGTGCATGCTTGCTGCTGGTTTTACTACGGCCAGGTCAAGCGCTTGCTGGTGGTGTTACTGTTGGCAGCAGTGCTTGTGTCCATTTACCTTCCAATCAGGAATGCTCGTATCACTCTGCCCCCTCCCATCCATCCCGTTTCGCTTCCCTCCTCCCGCTCCCTACCCCCGCTTGCCATTGTTGTGTTTTGGTTTTTTTCTTTCTTTTCGTGTGTTCCTGCTTGTCTCCATTTTTGAGGCGCCTCAAAAATCCTGTTTCTCTTTCTTTGTCTCCTTCAGCCAACGGTTCTCACGCAAGCTGCTGCCGCTACTGGCGCTTGCCATTGGACGGCTGCTGCTGACCAAAATAACCAACTACCAGGTGTGCCTGTTGCTTTCGCGCTTTACCTTGCTTCCTCATCCGACCGGTCTTTGTAAGAAAACGGGACTTTGATTGATTAGAATGAGAGAGGGCATACAAGCTTAAGTACTAACCATAGGAGAGGGTTGGAAGGGATAAGCGGAATCGGAGGGAATCCCAAGGGAATCCTCCCAAATCGTGGGGATTTGGGATGGATTGGGTTGGGATAGGTTGGAGATTAAAAAAAAGCTACACCCAACCTAACAAACATTCCTAACCCTAAACAAACAAATGACTAACACGCAAATGTGCAACATTGCAGCCTATCTCCAACAGTCTTTTACTCACTCACTCATGCAGATGTGCACGCACACACGCGCGCAAGCACATCCAACCCACCCAATGACTTCAGGGTCGGGGATGAGGGTTGTTGCCTCCTTCGTCACCAGTTCTTCTTCTGTCAGGGCTTTGCCTCCCCACGCACACACTCACCCCCTCCCCCACCACCAGGAGCACAGCAGTTAGACTGGCATGCACTGGGTTTTCTTCATCTTCTTTCCCCCATCCCTCCCTGCTTAATCTACCCTGCCACAAACATTGCTCCCTGAATTCAAAGAAGATCCGAGTACCATGGCCCCACCTCCCCCACCCCGCTTTTTTTTTCCACCGCCCCTCCAATACGCACACCAGGAGCACAGCAGTGAGTACGGCGTGCACTGGAACTTCTTCTTCACCCTCGCTACTGTGCTCTCCCTCTCCATCTCCCTCTCACGCACTCACACAAATACACACTCACGCACCCACAAGCGCCCAACCCCACCCCTGCCCCCACCCCTGTCACGCCATGCCACCAGGAGCACAGTAGTGAGTACGGCGTGCACTGGAACTTCTTCTTCACCCTCGCTGCTGTGCTCTCCCTGGCGCGCCTCTTCCCCTCGCCCATCCGCCACCACCCCACACAACTGCCCCCGGGCTTCTTCCGCAGTCTCACCCCCCCCGTGGTGCTACTCATCGGTCAGTGCTGATGCTGCTGCTGCTCTACCTGCTGCTGCTGCTGCTGCTGCTGCTGCTGCTGCTGCTGCTGCTGCTGCTGCTGCTGCTGCTGCTGCTGCTGCTGCTGCTGCTGCTGCTGCTGCTGCTGCCGCCGCTGCCGCCAATCCCCGCTTCTGCTGCTGTTGTTGTGTGTGCTGATGCGTGTGCCTTGAGCGCTGCTATTTTTATGCTGCTGGGTGTTGGCATATGAAATCTGAAGCCTTGGTGTGTTTCCTTTCCCGCCTTCAACACTCAGTTCACGTCCCTTAGCCGTCTTTCCGGTCCTCCTCCCCATCCACCCCCCCAACCCCCCCCCAACCCCCCACACCCCCGCCCTCCAACAGGGTACCAGGTGTTGCTGTCGTGCATGGGCAACCACCCATCCTCCCTCACCCGACCTACCCTCACAATCCTCCAACCCACCCAACCCCACATGAGCAGGGTACCAAGCGTGGCTGACGTGCATGGGCGGCAGTGAGTGGGTGCTATCAGATGACAGGGAGGCCACGTCCCTCATCTCACTCAATAAGGAGGGCATCTGCAGCACAGTCGGTGAGACGGCACCTGCAAACTGCCATCTTATTGCTACTTCCCTGTCTTCCCTGCCATTGCGCCTATGTACTGTCGCCCCCTTTCAAGTGCAACCCCGCCATTCCCCCTGCCGCTTGCCCATCCCTCCTCGCGTGTGCTGCCTGCTCCCATCCCATCTGTCATGTGCGTGGCAGGCTACCTGTGCCTCTACCTCATCTCACTGCATTTCGGCACGTTTTTAAACTCCTCCTATTGTAAGCAGCAGCCCCTCCATGTTAGCGCCTTGTCGTATTGTAAGCCCCTCCTATCCTAATCTCCCTCTCTTCCCTCTTCCTCTCAAGTGCTTGTCATTGTCAGCACCCACAGCAGTCTCAAACACCTCGTTTGGGCTCATCTCGTCTGAACCTCACCCTGTTTTGGGCCACTTTGTTATAGCCACTTTGATCTCACCTATCCTCTTTTGAGTCCGCCTTTTTCAACCACCTGGTCGTCTGCGCCTCAGCATGTCTCCCCTCCTCAACCACTCGCGCCACCCCTCATCTCATGCGTGTCTCCCTCTCTCCCTCATCTCATGTGTCTCTCCCACTCTTCCTCCTTTCTCCTCCCTCCTCCCTCCCTGCTGCATCAGCTGCCGTTCGCTCTACCCACGGCCCAATCTTCGCCATCATCAATCAACTCCTTCCTCTTGACCTCTCCCTCTGGTATGGCTATTGCTGCTGGTACGCCCATGGCTGCTGGTACGCCCATTCCTGCCTCTATCTATGCCACTCCATGCCATCCCATCCTCACTGCACTCCGTACCCTAACACTCCATCCCACCTCTCTCAACCCATTGAACACCCCCCTTTCCTGCTCCCCGTCCCATCCCACAGGGTGGTGGCTGTGGCAGCACATCAGTATGTGGAGCAAACCTCTCGACGCTCCGTGAGTTTTCTTGGCTGCGCTGCTCCCGTCCTAGCTTTATCTTCACCTTTGCTGGTTCTCCTGCTACCCCCCATGCCTTCCGTGCTTGCAGAGCATCCATCTTCTCGATATGTGATATGTGATACGTTGCTGGTGTGGCTTGCTGCGTGTTTGTTCTTGGCAGTGCAATCTTGCGTTTGTCCTCTGGAGTCTGGCTCAAGGCGTTCACGTAAGATTCTCTTCTGCCTTTCACACCCTTGTGGTGCTGTTGCTCCCTCTTGCACCCGCCTCCTTCTCTTGTCGCTCTTTCGATTTTATTCGCCTCCGCTACCTTCCCTTGCAAAACTCTAGGCTTGTGAAGCGTGACTTTTGTTCCTCCTTCCGCTTCATCCTATTGTCACATGCAATACACTCGCATAGATTATAATCACATTCGTAACGCTCGCATAGGTGCACGCCTTGCGAACCTCATACTCGCGCATCTTGTCCTCACATACAACCCTCACTCAGCTTACCCTTGCAGTTGTCCCTCACACATCCCCTCCCCCCCCCACCCCCCTCTCCCCCTTCCCGTCGACTCGTCCCACGATTCCAGGCGATCCTCATAGGGGAGCTCACGTGCCGCTCTCCATCACTTGTGTTCCGAGCCATCGCCCGCTTCATGCTCCCTACCTTCCTCATGGTACACACGACCATTCTTATAGCATTGGGACATTCCCATGGCCTCAGGGCATTCTCATGGCATCGGGGCATTCTCATGGCATTGGGGAATTTGGGTCATCAGGGCATCATGCTGTGGGGGGCTGTGTTGGCTTTTCTTGCTAGTCTTGGGTGAATAACTTGCCGCCTTGCTCCTTGTGATCCTCACTTTTCTTGATTTTCCTCCTTACACTTTGTTTACAGGCTAATGTAGGGACAGGGCTTGTCAACATCACAATGGATACACTGTCCCAACCACCACTCACTGCCATTGCGATCAATGCAGTCTACTTGTGTGTTCTCTGTTCTGGCGTTACATTCGCCCATGTACTCTTTCCTGCTAGAACAGCACAGCCCGAGCATAATGCATTGAAGCACAAAACCTCATGAGCGGAAATATATGCCAGAATACTTTTCTATCGGACGAGTGAAGTTCAGCTGCTGTAGTGGATGTACCGGTATCCGGTTTCGTAGTAGTATATATAAGGTTGTACAGAAGTGGTCATTTGTTAGCGGTATTCTTTCTGGAAATCATTTCACTGTGAAGTGAACTTTTGAATAATCCCATACTGGCAGCATAATTCGCACTCTGACAATCCCGATGCCGTCAGACCAAGCTGTTGAACCTTTCAGAGACGCCCTACGAGCCGAATCGGCAATGCCTTGAGCCGTCAGATGGTGCCCTGAGGGTTCAGGATGGCACTGTACGAAGGACCTGGGCTCAGAAATTCACTCGAGCACGTCACAAACCGCGTTCGACCGTCAGAACTGCCAGTCGGATCGAATCGATGTCGTCAATGCTGATTCTCCTGCCGTCAAGTTCTCAGGCCCGCCCCCCAACCAGCCACCCACTGATCCCTGGTTTGTTCAGGCCGACAAGGGCGGTTCGGCACCAGCATTTTACCGCCAAATTTCCTTCTTACGGTGTGCATCAGTCAATCGTCAGCGAGCAGACATTGGACGGACATTCCCAAGGCCAAGCTTCTCAGCATTGCTCAACCCCTCAACGGCTCATCCGCAGCAGCAGCAGCCCACAATCACCAAGGGGGCCTTGCCTTGGGGATTGTCAGAATTCAGGAGGCACTCTCGTCTCGTTCTCACCGACCTTGGGGGATTCTCCCAAGACTCGACCTCAGCAGTTGGTCTCGTCCTTCCGTCATTCAATAAGCGAAACGAAGCCAGCCACGCCTCTTCGCCTGCGAAACCTCTTCGCTTCTTCCGCGTCTTTCTCTTCAGGATCGCATTCATTCGTGTCCCCTAGGAAGCAACGCGTGGTTCGAGCCAGGTCCAACGCTTCGTTGGACGTAACTAGTAGCATCCTCGGCTGACCAGCCAGTAGCTGATGGTTTGAGATTAATCCAGTCAGGCGTTTTAAGAGCAGATTATCGCTGATCCGTGGTTCAGGGTGAGCCACGATGGCACGGCGACAGTTGACGAGATTACCTAGCAGTGGGACTCGGGAGTTTCAGGCGTTTGAAATGGTTCCGCCTACGCTGTCCGAGATTGAGCCTTACCTCAGGGCTGCTAACGAGATCGAATCTCAACGACCACGAGTCGCTTACCTATGTGAGATCACTTATTTCCCTTCAACTCTTCCAGTCGAGTATCAGAGCCCAGCTTTTAGCCGCTGTTACTCGTGATTTCAGATTCTCTAATAGGCTGATATCTTTTTTTCTATAACCATGCAACGACGTATAGAGTATCACGCGATTGCACTGCTATCCAGCCGGATGTTGCTTCATCAAATAACGGGAATGCGGTTTTCTTATGCAATTCTGTGTGTCTGGTTTTCGTAGGTCGGTTCTCGGCTTTCGAGAAGGCCCATCGCCTCGATCCAACGTGCAAGGGCCGTGGAGTGCGGCAGTTCAAGACAGCGCTTCTCGAGCGGCTGGAGCGGGTACGAGTTTCGCGACTTGCTGGCTGACCTCGCGCGTGCTTCACTCGCTTTCTCCGAGACCCTCAAACTCCTTTCGTTGTGTCCTGACATCTAGATATGTTTGACCTTACTTTCCCTTACTTTCTATCTTCTAAGTCGCTGGCACGGAAAGTCAAATGGCACCAAAGTGGTGTTCTCTCGGACTACTTTCATTGTGTCGTGATTTATATAGGTTCGCACAACCTTCTCTTATGTCTTCGCTTACTGTCATCGCAGGACAACCCGTTGACCCTGGAGAAGCGGCAACGCAGCAGCGATGCTCGGGAGATCGCGTCGTTCTACCAGCAGTACTACCAGAACTATGTCAAGGCCATGGATGACGCGGAGAACGTCGACCGGTAAGCCCGCTCCAGCCTTCATTCTGATGGGATCCTGAGGATCATCGCGTCAATGAATGCCAGGAGCCTTCTCCTGTTGCATGCTCCGACGATGTGCGACTGTTTACGCCTGCGTGCGACTGTTTGCGACCGTGTGCGACTGTGTGCGACGCTGAAACGCCTCATGTTCTGCATGGCAGGGCGGAGCTCGCTCGCGCGTACCAGACGGCCGGCGTGCTGTTCGAGGTGCTCTGCGCCATCAACCAGACGGAGAAGTCTGAGCTCGCGCCAGAGGTAGGACGTACGCCGCCATTTCGCAGTAAATATCGTCTCGTTAGAGGGTCTTCGTCTGCCTTTCCGACTATGTTAGCACCGCGCGTGACGTGGAGTGCTGTCCGCCTTGCATTCTATGCCGCACTTGAGCAAGTGTCGGCTGTCAATCGTCTCGTTACAAGTCGTGTCTCGTTACGGTCCTGTACTGATCCATGGTGCAAGCTCCCTGCGATCGGCAGGTTATGGAGGCGGGCCAGCGGGTTGTGGAGCGGAAGGCGGAGTACGTGGCGTTCAACATCCTGCCGCTGGACCCCTCCAGTGCGAAGCAGCCCATCATGCAGCTCCCGGAGGTGAGTCGCCGACTTCTAGCCGCTCCAGTCGACAATTTCTAGACGCTCCAGTCACCAATGACGCGATTGCTGACGCTGCGCAATGTGCAATTGCAAGAGGTGGGAATGTACGAAGGAAGCCAAATGGTTGTGATGGAAGTTGGCATCCAAGGCATTGCCGCCCTTGTAGTAACACTGAATTGTTCAAGCATATACGTCTTCCAGATGACGTGAATGTGTGAGCAGGTTGTTACGATATCCGAGAATGCCTGTCCGCCGATTCCAGAGTAGATGTTGCTTCACCACTTTTGATTAAGAAGTGCCTCCGCTAATCCCGCCCTCAGGTGGTGGCGGCTATGGCGGGCGTGACGAACGTGAGCGGGCTTCCCATCCTGTGGGAGGTGCCGCCGGGGCAGAAGCTGAAGCAGTTTGACTCGCTCGACTGGCTGCGATTCGTCTTCGCTTTCCAGGTGAATAGGACTTGGTGCCTTTGTATTCCACTTTGGAACATGCTGCGCCTCCCACGGGCCAGACCCGGAGAAGTGAAGACTTGGGCGAAGAGAACGTGTTTGCTGATATCTGACAGCCTGCACTTCTCGTCTCCCTTCCCGTGTGTGTGTGTGAGCCTGCACGCGCGTGCGTGTGCGTGTGCGCGTGCGTGTCTGCGTGTGTGTGTATGTGTGTGCTCTTTCGGTTACCTCTCTCGCTCTGCAGAAGGACAACGTGCGGAACCAGCGCGAGCACCTGGTGCTGCTGCTGGCGAACGCGCACATCAGCTTGAAGAACCCCCGGCCTGAACCCCTCGAGGAGGTACGAGCCGTGAAAACCACGCGAATCACACAGGAAGGTTCAGGCGTGTGTTTGAAGGTGCAGGAAAGTGGTGTATGGTACTGGGTGTGCCATGAGGAGAGGGCATTTTGGTTGCACGTTCAGAGCTCCTGCAAGCTGCTTTTTAACGCTTCACCAGTTCATATGTATCGAATCAAGTGTAGTGCCTGTGCGTGCGTTCGTGCTGTGCGTGCGTGCTGTGTGTGCCTTGCAGCTTGACAACCGAGCGGTGGACAAGGTACTGGAAGGGCTGATCAAGAACTACCGCAGCTGGTGCCGCTACATCAAGTGCAAGAGCAACGTCAGGTCAGTCAGGAATGGCCCTGGTACACAAGCCCCTGGTATCTGGTGACGTAGCATCAAGTGCGGGGCGTCGAGTGTGGAATAATCCTGGTGCCTGTCAGGCTGTCAGTCACCATATATGGTTGCTTCTCACTGATTCTAGTGGGATGCGTTTGCAGCCGTGCCTGTCACTCTGCCTGTGATGTGTGCTATGCAGCATGATCTCTGTGGTGCCTCAAGTATGGCTGTCTCTGCTCAAAATTGAACTTCCTGAAATCTGTGGCTGTGTGATGTGGTTCTGGATGGGTGCAGCATGGATCCCGGGCTGACGCCTATCCAGCAGCAGCAGAGGAAGGTGTTATTCACGGCGCTGTTCCTGCTCGTGTGGGGAGAGGCAGCTAACCTTCGTTTCATGCCGGAATGCCTCTGCTACATCTTCCACCACGTATGACGCACTCTCGATTCCAATCACAATGCTACAACTTTCAAGCCAATTGCTGCAGCAGGATCTGCTGCTCACGAAACTCTGCATCTTGGAAGCTGTCAAATCGCTGACTATTTGCTATCCGCATGGTGCCTCATGGTTCTTTCCGGTGCTCCTCTTATCGCATACTTCCTCAATCTCCCGTTCACCTTTCACCCCGTACCCCATACACCACCACACCCCCACCAGATGGCAGCAGAGCTGCTGGCTGTGCTGCGGGGCAAGGGCCCCGACGCCAAGGCCCGCCTGCCCGCCTACGGGCGCGAGGCGGAGGGCTTTCTCCGCCACGTCATCACGCCCGTGTATGACGTGGTGTCCAAGGAGTCCCAGGCGGCGGTGGCGGGAGCGGCGCACTCGTCGTGGCGGAACTACGACGATTTGAACGAGTTCTTCTGGTCCAAGAGCTGCTTCGAGCTGGGGTGGCCGTGGAACGCCAGCTCGCCCTTCTTCTCCGGGCCAGCGCCCAACCTGCATGCGGGGAGCTTCAAGGTAGTTCTTTCTGTAGGGGTAGAAACTTTCAAATACAGAGAGTGTGCTGGTCAGCACTGACTGTCACCTTTACGCTGGCGGCGCCTGTGCTTCTCTGATCTGACTGTTTCCAGCATCGCTGTAGCAGGCTGTCGTGCTATCTCTCCTTTGGCCTGATCCTCTCTGTTTCCTTGTGCGCTTTCCCTTGGTGACTTGTCTTTCCCCCAGGGCGCTGTGAACTGCTGCCCGCTGCCAGGGAGCGAGCGCATGGGCAAGGAGGGGTTTGTGGAACACCGCACGTGCCTGCACCTCTTCAGGGACTTTGACCGCATGTGGGCCTTCTTCATCTGCTGCCTGCAGGTGAGCTGTTATGAGATGACTTTTTGGTCGACTCAGAAGTCTGCCCGCACCTCTTCAGGCACTTTGACCGCATGTGGGCCTTCTTCATCTGCTGCCTCCGGGTGAGATCTTCCAAATGTCTCACTGCTCAAATATGCAGTCACGTTTGTCTGTTGACACAGTCCCACGTTCCTTCTCCCTGGTTTATTCTTTCCCCTGAAACACGCGCACACACGCGCACACATACATGCACACACTCGAGCACATTGTTTCACGAAGCATTAGCCATGGATCCCTCGCACATCCGCACGTATTCACACCCGGCACAAGTACCTCCGTCCTATGCGTGCAGGCGATGATCATCATGGCGTGGAGCCCCCCCTGGTACAGCACGTTCACCAGCATTGACAAGTTCCGCCAGGTCACCAGCGTCTTCATCACGCTTGCAGGGATCTACTTTCTCAAGTGTAAGCTCCCGGTGCCTTCCCCTTCCTGACAAGTTCCTTCACTGGATGTACCACCCTCTGTGTGAGCAGCCTCTGTGTGACCACCCTCTTGTGTGACCACCCTCTTGTGTGAGCAGCCTCTGTGTGAGCAGCCTCTGTGTGAGCAGCCTCTGTGTGAGCAGCCTCTGTGTGAGCAGCCTCTGTGTGAGCAGCCTCTGTGTGGCCATCTGTTTTCGCATGAATGCCCTCACTGGGGTGCACCCTTAACCACACCCGTGCCCCCCTCAATCCCCCCTCCCCCCTCTCCCCTCCCCCCTCTCCCCTCCCCCCTCTCCCCTCCCCCTCCCCCTCACCCCTCCCCCTCACCCCAAACCCCTCCCCCCTGCAGCTCTGACGGACGTGTTCCTCAGCTTCGGTCTGTACCGCACCCAACCGTGGACGACCTCTCTGCGCCTGCTGCTGAAGACGCTGTGGTTCGCGGGGTGGTTCGTGGTGCTGGCGATCTCCTACTCCATGGCCGTGCAGGACGCGACGGGGATAGTGTCCACCGTGCAGGGGTGGATAGGAGTGACGGGGAGTCCGAATGTGTACTTTGCGGTATGCGTGCTGTACCTGGTGCCGTACGTGCTGGCGCTGGGGCTGTGGCTCATGCCGTGCATCCACCGGTTCCTGGAGAACTCCAACTGGATCATCTTCCGGGTTATCCTCTGGTGGTCACAGGTGCGTGTTAGGGTGGGAGGGTGGGAAGGTGGGGGGGAAGGTAGGTGGGTGTGGGTGTGGGTGTGGGTGTGGGTGTGGGTGTGGGTGTGGGTGGGGGGGGCGGGGTGTGGTGTGGGGGTTGAGGACCCAGGCATGCATGCTTCTGGTGCCCGTGCACGTGTGTGCACTAGTTCATGGATGTGGAAGCTTTTCGTGAGGATGGAAGTTATCAGTAGAAGTCTTCACTGTGTTTGTTGTCCTTCTGCATTTGAAACAATAGAAGTGAATCTCGCGAAACATGTTCGAAACCTTCTCTGTCTGTGGCCCCATGTCTTGTGTACGCAGCCAGCGGAGTATGTTGGGCGGGGCATGCAGGAGTCTCAGATCACGATTCTCAAGTAAGTGCCTCTTTGCTGTCGCGTGCTGCCACGAGCTGCCACGTGCTGCCACGTGCTGCGATGTGCCGTGGTTTCCATTTGCTCCAGTCCGACCGTGCACCCATTGCCCTCATTCCCATCTAACTGCCGCTCCCCCGTTCCGCCTCCATTCCTTCTACCCCCCTCCCCCTCTTCCCCCCCTTCCCACCCGCCCCCCTCCCCCTGCAGCTACACGCTCTTCTGGGTGGTGCTGATAGCGGCGAAGCTGGTGTTCAGCTTTAAGTTCCAGATCGAGCCGTTGGTGGCTCCCACGGAGCAGATCATGGGCACCACCAACGTGGTGTACTCGTGGCACAAGCTCGTCCCCACAGACCTCAACATCTTCGCCGTTATCACGCTCTGGGCGCCCATTATCCTGGTGAGAGAGGGGTGGAGAGTTTGACTGAAAGGCGCCCACAGAGCAGATCATGGGCATGACCAACGCTTGTGACTTTGTGACACGGATTCATCCCCACGGACCTCAAATCTTCAACATCATCACGCTATGGGCTCCCATTATCCTGGTGAGGGAAGAGGTGGGCGGGGGTTGGAGGTGGTTGGGAGGGGCTTGGGATGGGTACGGGTGCTGCTGTCCCTGCTGCTGCGGCTGACGCTGGTCTCCGAGCTGTCTTAATGCTGTGCACTGCTGCCTCTTTGCTTGTATATGCAGTTGCCATGCTGGTGCTGCAGCTGCTGCTGGTTCTGATGTTGCTGCTGCTGGTTTTGATGATGATGATGCTGCTGCTGCTGCTGACGCGCACTCGCCTTGTCTCTCCACCATTTCCCACATGCTTCGTGTGGCAGGTGTATTTTATGGACACGCAGATCTGGTACGCGGTCATGTCAACGCTGCTGGGAGGCATAACCGGCGCGTTCCAGCGACTGGGAGAGGTCAGTCAGTGGGGACGGACACAGGGGCGTCTGCATCTCAGCCGACCAATCTTTAGCCTTAATGGATTGCCGCTTGCTTTTGATCAGATCGTGTGTGCTGGTACTAGAACTACTAGCTCCCTTATGCTCAGCTTCCCTGACCTCGTTTCCTCCCTTCCCCGTTCCCCCCTTCCCTCCCTCTCTCCCTTCCCTTTCGTTCCTCCCTTTTACCTCTCCCCCTTCTTCCCTCTATTCGCTCCCCGTCTCCTCCGCCGCCTGGCTTTCCTTTCCCCCCCCTCGTTCGTGCTCAGATCCGGGATGTCAACTTGCTGTGCCAGCGTTTCCAGTCACTTTTGAGTCTACTCAAAAGCTGGTTCTCTCTCCCCCCCTCCGCCCCCCCCCCCCCCCTTCCCTTTTTGGCCCCACTCCCCCACGCTTTCCCCCTCAGATCCGCAATCTCAACGTGAGGAGTCTATTTTTTAGGCGCCTCAAAAATAGAGCCCCCCTCCGCCCCCCCCCCCCTCCCTTTTTGCCCCCACTCCCCCCCGCTTTCCTCCTCAGATCCGCAATCTCAAGATGCTGCGTCAGCGGTTCCGGTCGCTGCCCGGAGCGTTCAACGCGAACCTGGTGCCGGCGCAGCGGCTGCAGCGCAGCGCCTTCTCCCTGGCGCGCACGTACCGCGAGCCCGACAAGAACACCAAGGAGGCCGCGCGCTTTGCGCAGCTGTGGAACGAGGTCATCGTCAGCTTCCGGGAGGAGGACCTCATCAGTAACAGGTGGGAGGGGATGGGGGGATCGGGGGGTTGGGTGGAGCTGTAAGGGGCTGGGGGCTGGGGGCTGGGGATTGGGTGAGGTGATGTGTGGATAACGGATTTGGGGGCCTTGGGGTTTGAGGCGTCGTGCTTGGAGCTTGGACTGACTCGTTAGTATGTCCGACTCAGCAGTATGGGTCGGTCTGCTTCGCAGCAGGGTTTGGAATGCCTCGCTGAGACTGCCTTATCAATTTTAATTCGCCTGGCCTCCTCGGCTATGCGACGTTTTGAATGTGCATCGCCTACTCGTGCGTGAACACCACCACCACCCAACCGCCCATGGCAGGGAGATGGACCTGATGATGGTGCCCTACTCCTCTGGGGACCTCTCGATTGTGCAGTGGCCGCCCTTCCTCCTCGCTAGCAAGGTATGCATGCTCCCACCATCCATGCCGAGTTAGTAAGTGTTCATCTACTACTGTATGCATCTATCTTGAGCATAGGCCCGGATAAAACTCGTCCCATACGGTGCAGATGGCAGTAAGCCACGCCTTGAAGACCAACACCCTCCTCGCCCCTGTCTTGCCCTATCTCCCCCCCACCAGGTGTCCCGTGCAGTGGAGATGGCAGTGCAGGGCACCTCATCATCACCCCGCTCGTCCCCGTCTTGCTCTCTCTGCCCCCCGCCAGGTTCCGCGTGCGGTGGAGATGGCAGTGAAGGGCGCCAAGGGGCGGGACGGCGACGTGTGGCACCGCATCTCAGCAGACTCGTATATGCGCTTTGCTGTGGAGGAGGCGTTTGCCACGCTGCAGCACATCCTCACAACCCTGCTTATTGGCGAGAACGAGAAATTGTACGCGGCGTGTTGACGGTGCCTGGTGACTTTTTGAGTCGACTCAAAAGTCATCTTTGCCAAATGGCAGCACAACCTCTCATCTTTGCTTACTGGGGAGATCGAGAGATTGGAAGCAACGTGCTGACGGGGCCTGGTGCAAGTTTGTGTGGCCCTGATTTACGTGTTGGTAGTTCCTCTCCTTATTTTATTACTCTGATGGTACCTTGTTTCAATAGTTTATCCATGGCTTCCGTGTATCCCCACTCTCCTATCCCCTCTCCTTGCTCTCTCTTCATTCTCCCTCCCCTCTGCAGTGTGGTGAACGGGCTGCTCAAGGAAGTGAAGCGCAACATCGACAATGGCACGCTCTTCTCCGTGCTCCGCATGAAGGCCCTCCCTGCCTTCATCAAGAGTGTCGTCGAGCTGGTGCAGCTGCTAGCAGATATCGCCGAAGCAGATGGGGTCAAGACTGCCGGCCGCCCCGCCACACCAGGGGCGGCGGCAGCTGGCGGTAGTGCGGGTGGGGGAGGAACAGTGTCTCCGGATGGGAAGGGGAAGGGGAAGGAGGAGGCGGGGAGCAGCAAGGGGAACGGGGGAGGCAAGGTGGGGGGGAGTCAGGAGGAGAAGGACAGGAAGAGTGCGTTGATCCGTGGGCTGCAGGATCTCTTTGAGGTGTTCACCTGTGACCTTATCTCGCAGACCATGCGGGAAGCCATGTCCGCACATGGGGGCCCGCTCTCTGAAGCCCGCACAGTGCAGCTCTTTGCCGCTGCTGGCGGGGCGAAGAACCAGGGAGCGGGGAAAGTGGGGGTGCTGTATCCCCCTCCTAGAACCCCGGCGTGGTGTGAGCAGGTGAAGCGGTTTCTCCTGCTGCTGACGTGCAAGGAAGCGGCTATGGACGTGCCCACGAACCCAGAGGCCCGCAGGAGGATCTGCTTCTTCACCAACTCGCTGTTTATGGACATGCCGCACGCGCCGCGGGTGCGCTTTATGCCGTCTTTCAGCGTGCTGACGCCGTACTACTCGGAAGATGTGATGTACGGCGCGAGGCAGCTGAACGAGGAGAACGAGGACGGCGTGTCTATCATATTCTACCTGCAGAAGATCTACCCCGGTGAGTCGGTGTCTTTGTGTTGTCGTCGTTTTGCACCCCTGTTGGGTAGCTATCACATGCAGTCCCGTGACCAGGCCCTCCCTCTTCCCCTACACGTTTCACCTATCTCAAGAATCGCTTACTGATCTAACCACGCGGGTACATCCTCTCTCACATTTCTCTTGCCATCCACTCTCAAGTTCCTTTTTTCTAAGGCCTGTTTCCGTTGTCCTTCTTCCATTCCTCACCCATGCGTGTGTGCGTACTGCAGAGGAGTGGAGCAATTTTCTGGAGCGCATGGGGTGCGAGTCGGAGGAGGAGGTGGTTGCGAGGGAGAACGGAGACAGGGAGCTGAGGGCGTGGGCGTCCAACCGCGGCCAGACTCTCTGGCGTACAGGTGAGGGAGAGGGACAGGAGAGGGTGAGGAGAGGGAGAGGCCGGTACTTGCAGGGTGGAAAGAGGAGAGTGCTTGCGAGTTGGAAGAGACGGAAATGCATGCGGGTTGGAAGAGAGGGGAATGCATGTGGTTGGGGAGTGAGGCAGGGAGGTACAAAGACTATCTGCATTCTTTGACTTTCTACATTCTTTGATCATGGTGTCCTTCTCTCGTCCACCCTATTGCCTGCTGTGCTGTGTGTGCTGTGCATGCTGTGTGTGTTGTGCGACTGTGTGGCTCTGCCTGTCTGCCTGTCCGTGTGCGTGGTGCCTGCCCTCTCTGCCTGGTGCGTGGCTGCAGTGCGGGGCATGATGTACTACAAGAGGGCCATGGAGCTCCAGGCGTTCCTCGACATCTCCACAGACCAAGGTACGAGTCTGTGTACAGCCCACTCCCAGACCACTCTCAGCCCTCACTCTATGCCTTACTGAGCCCACCCAAGCACCACTTGCTCTGCTCTCTTGCACCAAGCTTACTCTCCCCAGGAGCCTCTTGCACAGGACTCTGGAAACACAGCTGCTGCTTATGGTTGTTGCACGCATCCAGGCGAGCATGTCGGATTTCACACCCTGTGCAGTCTCCTCTGGGTGGATCCCATTCCTTTAGAGATTATCCCTTTTTTAATGGCTGTGTACTTTCATAATGAGTTTTCCTTCTTAAGCACAGTCTCTTCGCCCCCCCATTCCTCTCTCCTGGCCTCTCTCCCCCATTCCCTCCGCCCACCAGAGTTCTCGGCTGGTTACCGCGCGCTGAAGCAGGCCGCACGGGCGGGCGACAGCAGCAGCCGCGCCACATGGAAGCAGATAGAGGCGGTGACGGACCTCAAGTTCACGTACGTCGTCGCCTGCCAGCTGTACGGGCAGCAGAAACAAGCCGGCGACCAGCGGGCAGCTGACATCTTCGAGCTCATGAAAACGTATGGTGGTGGTGGGGCATGGGGGGGGGAGGGAAGGGGGCGGAGGGGGGGAACGTGGGGAAAGAGATGGGGGAGGGGGGGGGGGGGGGCTTTGAGGGAAGGGAGGGTCGTCTTTGATGAGGGTTCGTTGGGTTCGGTGGCCCCAATCTTCAGAAGTGCCTCCGCTCATGCTTCTTCCTGTGTGTGCTCTTCCTGCAACACAACCAGTGCCCCAAGCCGCCACGCCCCCTCATCCAACGCAAACCCCACCCCCCCCCCCCCCCCCAACCTCCCCTACCCCCCCCTTCCCCGGTTCTTATCATCCCATACTGACCAATCAAAGCCCTTCTTCCCTGCTCCATCCGCTCCCCCCCCACCCCACCCCGTCTGCTCCCCACCACCAGCCACGACGCCTTGCGAGTGGCGTACATCGACGAAGTAGAGGTGGAGGATAAGGGCCGGGTCTTCAAAGAATACTTCTCTGTTCTGGTCAAGGTCTCGCGCGGAGTGGAGCAGGAGATCTACCGGGTCCGCCTCCCAGGCCAAGCCAAGCTAGGAGAGGGCAAACCGGAGAACCAGAACGCGGCTATCATCTTCACGAGGGGGGAGGCGCTGCAAGCGATCGATATGAACCAGGATAACTACCTTGAGGAGGCGTTCAAGATGCGGAATCTGCTGCAGGAGTTTCAGGGGGGAGAGGGGGTGCTGTCGCGGTGCACGGGCGCGCGACCACCCACGATTCTAGGCGTGCGGGAGCATATTTTCACGGGGTCGGTGTCATCGCTGGGGTGGTTCATGTCGTGCCAGGAGAGCAGCTTCGTGACGATCGGACAGAGGATTCTCGCCTGGCCGCTCAAGTGAGTTTCTGTTATTGTTGTTGGTTGCCATGGAGATGCCATAGCAAGGCTCTCGTTCTTATCAGTGTTGCCCTCTCGTCTCGTCCACATCATACACAGCGGCATGAGCAAGGCTCTCTTTCTTATCCTTGTTCGCTCCCAACCAATCATTTTCTCTCCCCCTCCCGTCCCTCCCCCTCCCGTCCCTCCCCCTCCCGTCTCTCCCCCTCCCCCTTTTCACCTGTCCCCCTCTCCCTCCCCTCTCCCAGGGTCCGTTTCCACTACGGCCATCCGGACGTGTTTGACCGCCTCTTCCACATCACGCGTGGCGGCGTGAGCAAGGCATCCCGAGGCATCAACCTGAGTGAGGACATCTACGCTGGCATCAACAGCACGCTCAGGCGCGGCGCAGTCACCCACCACGAGTACATCCAAGTGGGCAAGGGGCGCGACGTGGGCCTCAATCAGATATCGCTGTTTGAAGCCAAGGTGGCGAATGGGAACGGAGAGCAGGCGCTGAGCCGGGATATCTACCGGATCGGCTCGCGGTTCGACTTCATGCGCTCGCTCTCGGCGTACTTTACCACTGTCGGGTTCTACGTCAGCTCAGTGGTGAGTATATGCCTTTATATGTTCAGTCAAAAGTCGTCACCGTTCGACTTTCTGCAGTTGCTCTTGGCGTATCTTACCACTGTTGGGTTCTACGTCAGCTCAGTGGTGAGAGACAGGCGAGATTGGCTGCTCAAAATCTACCTGCTCCTTTGCCTTTTGCCTGCTGTATTGTAGTGTTGTACTTGCTTGACACAACCCGCCCCCGTCTCCCTCGAGCCACCTCTCCCCCTCCACCCCAGTCCCCCCCCCCCACCCCTGCAGATAGTGCTGCCGACAGTGTATGTATGCCTTCCTCTACGGCCGCGTGCACCTCTCCCTCAGGGGCTTTAAAGTGGTGCTCCAACCCCTCTTTACCCCCCCTCTCTTCTCCTCCCCCCCCCCCCCCCCCTCCCCCCTCCTCTTCCTTTGCAGATAGTGGTGCTGACAGTATACGCCTTCCTATACGGCCGCGTGTACCTGTCTCTCAGCGGCGTGGGCAAGTCCCTCATGAACAACGCCAACATCTCTGGCTCTGACTCGCTCCAATCCGCCCTCTCCTCGCAAGCCCTGGTCCAGCTCGGGCTGCTCATGGCGCTCCCCATGCTCATGGAAATGGGGCTCGAGAGGGGGTTCCGCACCGCCACAGTGGATTTTATCCTCATGCAGCTGCAGCTGGCTTCGGTGTTCTTTACCTTTTCGTTGGGGACCAAGGCGCATTACTTTGTGCGGACGATCATGCATGGCGGGGCTAAGTACCGGCCGACGGGGCGTGGATTCGTGGTGCGGCATGAGAAGTTTGCGGAGAATTACCGGTTGTTCGCGCGGTCGCACTTCACTGTTGCACTGGAGTTTCTGCTGATGCTGATCGTGATCGCGATCTACGGCCAGGATAACAGCTCGTCCAACGGGCTGAGCTACTTCCTGGTGACCTTTTCTATGTGGTTCCTCTGCATCTCGTGGCTGTTTGCACCGTTTGTCTTCAACCCGTCCGCGTTTGAGTGGCAAAAAGTGGTGGAGGACTGGGAGGATTGGCACAGGTGGATTGGGGCGTATGGGGGGATTGGAGTGAAGGGGGATCGGAGCTGGGAGTCGTGGTGGGAGGAGGAGCAGGAGCACCTCGTGCACACGGGATGGGTGGGGCGTCTGGTGGAGGTGCTGCTCGCCCTGCGGTTTCTGATCTACCAGTATGGGATTGTGTACACGCTGCAAGTCAACAACGGCAGCACGAGTCTGCTGGTGCGTGGGTGGGGAGGAGAGGGGGGTGGGGAGAGGGGGACAGGGGCCCGGGGATGGGAATGATGATGGGGATGGTGATGATGATGGGGATGGTCTGTATATGAGGACTAGGGAAACTTTTATATGCCTTGGGTCCCTCCGTTGTCACGGTTTTCATCACCTTCCTTAGTTTTTCTCTCACCCTCTCTCTCTCTCTTGCTAATGTTGTGTTCCCTCTCCGTTGTGTTCCCTCTATCCCTCTGCAGATTTATGGCATTTCGTGGCTGGTCGTTCTGGGGCTCTTGATCGTTTTCAAGGTACGAATCTTGAATCTGACCATCATTGGGCCACCCAACGCAACGTCTGCTGCATGCATGCACCCCTCCCCTGGTGCTCATTCGTGCTACTCTGCCCTCATCTCCTCACATCTCCTAACCTCTCCCCTTCCTGTCCACCCCCCTCCTCAATGTTCTCCTGTACATGCATTTCCCTCCTCTACTCCCCCCTCCTCCCCTCTATTTCCTCTCCACTCTCCTCTCTCCTCTCCCCCCCACCTTTTCAGGTGGTGTCTGTGTGCAACCAGCGCTTCGGCACGGACGTGCAGCTGATGTTCCGCATTATCAAGGCGGGCACGTTCTCTGCCGACTCAACAGTCACTTCCAATTCCCCCCCCCCCTCCCTCCCCCACTCACACGCTCTTAGGTGGTGTCTATGAGCAGCAAGCGCTTCGGGGCGGACCTGCAGCTGCTGTTCCGCATCATCAAGGCGGGCACGTTCTGCTGCCTGGTGATCGCCCTCGCACTCATCATCGGACTCACTTCCTTCACCTGGGGCGACCTGTTCGCATGCATCCTCGCTGCCATCCCCACTGGCTGGTTCATGCTCCAGGTATTGCATCGGCATCCCATCAGCATCCCATCGGCATCCCATCGGCATCCCATCGGCATCCCATCGGCATCCCATCGGCATCCCATCGGCATCCCATCGGCATCCCATCGGCATCCCATCGGCATCCCATCGGCATCCCATCGGCATCCCATCGGCATCCCATCGGCATCCCATCGGCATCCCATCGGCATCCCATCGGCATCCCATCGGCATCCCATCGGCATCCCACCGGCATCCCATCGGCATCCCATCGTCACATCACAGCACCCTTCTGTGCAGCCCTGTGATTTGAAGTTCCAGAGCTCTTTTCTTGCTGAAGCTTTTGGACCTCCTGACTCTCAATCTCCCCGTCTCTTCTCCAGCTCCCCTCGTGCTTTTGTCAGGTGTGACAGCTCTGATGCCGGTACATATTACTCCTCCGTACCTCTCCCCTCGTGCTCCCCTCCTCTCCTATTCCCCTCCTTCCACACAGGTTGTGCAGGCCATCCAGCCCATCATCCCGAGCAGCATGTGGGACTCGGTGAAGGGCCTGGCGCGGCTGTACGAGTACCTGTTTGGGCTCATTCTCTTCATCCCCATCGCCGTGCTCGCGTGGTTCCCCTTCGTCTCCGAGTTCCAAACGCGCCTGCTCTTCAACCAGGCCTTCAGCCGAGGCCTGCAGATCTCCCGCATTCTTGCAGGGAAGAAGAAGGCCTGAGCTGAGCTGTCGAGCATGAATGCTACTAACAGGCGGCGTTGTTATATGTAGGCTGTAGCTCTTTTCTTTTTTATGGCTTGCTAATGCTAACTAGGGAGAGAGGCCAGTATGCAAGCTTGGTTCTTGTACTTGCTATGTGATACACCATTCGGGTATCATCCATGCCAAGCCATGCATGCATTCAAGCAGCAATTAACCTGCGATGTGCTGGCCTAACAGGCGTGTGGCCTAGAGCCACTTTTGTGAATATATTTTATCCAAGGAGCATGGATGGATTTGACAGACTCGACGAGCAGAAGCTGAGCTGTCATGTTGATGAAGCCATACCGTGTTTCATGTTTTATGTGCTGTGTTTGATATTCATGAATGTTTTCTTGTGATCGTTATCATTTTATGTTTTACCACCAGTACCTTGTGAATATTCCTGTTGTGAGACGCAACCAAAGGCCTGCAATATCTTTATGCAGTTGCATTATGCGGGCAAGGAATCGTTTTGGAAGGCCAGTATTTCGTTAATCATGTAAGTTTTTGCAATGTGATATGATGAAAACAATGAGGGATATGCTAATATCTGGTTGTACCAAAGTGCATTTGAGGGTGTAGAGTAAGGAATACGCAGTCTATAGATTCGCATAATCGGGTGCACCCTATAAGCACTGGGACGCGGGACAAAGTTCAAAATTTGTCTTTGCGCGGGAAACCTGTCAGTCAGTGCGGCCCGTTGCAGCTTCACCATCAACGGCCAGCCAGCCACCCTCATGTTTCCCTGCCATTTGATGATCGCTTCCCCTTAGCTTGTTTCCGCTGAACCCCCCTTTTCCCGAGGTTATTTGCGCAGGCATCCACCTTGCGAGATTGTTCGCATTCGCTTCCGTCAGCCAAGCGACGGCTCCCAGTGGCAGGCGAAGTCACAAAAGCAGGCTGCAGAACGAGCCCATGTCAGGGTGGACATCAGCCAGTCAGCATTTTTTAATCTGCGCGCGCTTGCAGCCTGGTCTGCAGCAGTGATGAGAAATTCGCAGGCGTACCGCGAGTCGCTGGGGCACACTCACTCGCGCAACTGGTCGATGCGATGCGACTCGGGGGAAATAAAATCCCCGCAAACCAGGCACAGCCGAGCCCCCGTTTTCCGCCTCATCCCCATGTCACAAGAACACAGCCCCCCTTTCCCCCAACAATCTCCCCGTCCCCCCGTCTCACAACATACGCGTCTTGACATGCGCCCACCATTGGCTGCGGCGGAACTGGGTGATCACATCTGCGCACATGCGGATGCCATGAAGCGCATTCACCTCCTGGAAACCAGAATCAAGGGACAACTCTCCTCTCACAGCCGAGGCGGTGTGGACCGAACCGAACACTCCCGAGCCGGCCATGTCATTGGCTTTCTCGCTTCCAGCTGGTTCAGCCAATTCCCTGGGTGGTGGTGACTATTGCCTGACTGAATCGGCAGCTTACTCGAATTCCTCCGTGTTCTTGGAGTTGCTTGATTCGCTACCTCCGTAAGAGCCATAGGTCATCCGTTTCCCGCGAGACTCTGCCATTTTTATTTTCCTGATACGGCTTGCGCACCGGCATCTCGCCGCATTACGCGACACCAGCCTAACGGAGCAATGAGCATACTGGATTCTCGACTTAGCTCTTTCAGACCAAATGGCTTTGGTAGTTTCGCCGTCCTCGAGCAAGATGACCAAACTTCTCATTATCGAGTGTAATTTCGACGCTGCTCGATTTTCCCTACTTATCTGCAGTTAACTCTGAGTCGTCTAATCAACTAGTCACTAGCCTTCCACACTCTCCCGTGTAGGTTTCTTTCTCTCGTCCAGCTTTCAAGGTAGCCTATTCCACAATCACTCGCGCATCCCGCTAACTAGCACAGCTCCGTACCTAACGCTTTTAGCCACATCCCAGCTAACAGTCGCACGAACTAGATCGCCGACATCGTCGCTATCTCTCTCCCTATCCAATTCAAGCGCAGCAGAAAGGAAGTGGTCGCACGATGATGTCAGGCAGAGGTGCCGCTGCTCCCAGTAAAGGACCGGCTGCGGCAGCGGCTAAAGCAGCAGCAGCAGCATCGTCGTCGTCGAGTGGGTTGTCGCAGTACATCGACCCGGTGTACGAGGACATCCACGCGCCCAAGTACTTCAACTTCTGCCGCAAGGACGAGGAGGAGGCGCTGCACTCCGGCGACTCGTGGTTCGACCAGGCGCACGGTGAGAGCACACGAGACGGACGCGACAAGGAGAGATGCATGAGGGGAGAGAGAGATAGAGGTGCGAGACGTAGCAGGATACGGTGAGAGGAGAAGAGTGAGGGGAGAGAGTGGGTTGAGAGAGGGTAGGAGATCCGAGATAGGCCGGGAAGGGGAATCGTGAGTCGACTCGTGGTTCGACCAGGCGCAAGGTGAGAGAGCGAGGCGAGAGAGCGAGGGGAGAGGGCGAGGGGAGGGGACTCAAGATGGGAAAGGAGAGACGCTTGAGGGCACTGGAGATGGAGATGCGAGTCGTTGTAGGGGATGCCCAGCCGGAACGAGCGGCGGATGAGACGTGCGACGTGCGACGTGCGACGAGAGACGAGATACATGAGACATGGGAGCTTGCAGAGGCGTGGGAGGCGTGAGACGTGATGTGTGCGAGGAGCGTTAGGGATGAAGCTAGAGCTTCAGATGCTGCGCTCACAGGCGCGAAGGCGCTAGACGGCAGCACGTGCGCAGCTCCGGTTGTCCAACACACAAATAGAGATCCAGGAGTGAGGTGAGCGTCGGTTGCTTGTTCAAGGTAACGATAGGGTCCAGGGTCACCGTTCCGACGGTAATTAGCTTCGAGCTTCGACGGATGCTAAACGCACACCCACAGGAGCATCTGTTTGGAGGAGCATTTCGAGAGGTCAGCTGTGAACGACAGCATTGAATTAGATTGCGCTGCACCAATAACTTAACAGTGAAAGAGTGTCATACCGTCCCCTTATACCTCTCACCAGCCGACTATATCGCAGCCGAAACTCGCGCGATTGTTCTTTGTTGCTCGCCCCGAGGTGACTGCGTTACCGCGTGCGGCATGAGTCTCAGCGTTAGCGGCCGGCGTACGTCCAGTTCCGTCCACTCGCTTGTTTCGTACCTCCTCCGTCTCTTGTTCAATCTGATGGATATGCGTCTCCCGCGTGTTCGCGCGTGGTTATGCAGATGGGGAGATGGAGGACGACGGGGACAGCGCCGCGTGGGCCTTCCACGCCGCCATGAGCGCCATCACGCAGAGCTCGCCCGCCCCCATGCCGCACGGGCCGCCGTCGAAAGCACAAGCAGCAGCACCTGCAGTAGCGGAGAAGCAGCCCTCCTCGGCGTCTAAGAGGCGTCAACAAGCGTCGCCGGACGACGCGCGAGCTGCTGCTGCTGCTGCTGACACGCCCCCCGCTGCCGCCCCCGGCCCCGCTCGTGTGCGCGCTTCCGCGGCGGTTGCTGCTGCTAACCGGCCAGCTCCGGCTGCTGCTGCTGCTGCTGCTTCCCCTTCGCCGAGTAAGAAGAAGAGAGATGTGGCGACCGGATCGCCTGCTGCTGCTGCGACTGCTGCTGCGACTACTGCTGCGACTGGACGGGCGTCGCCGTCAGAAGTCTGTCGCTCGCTCAGCTTCGCTACCGACAAGCCCAATGGGTGAGTGACGCGTGGCGATGGCACGTGGCGTTTGTTTTGCATAGGATTCTAATTAGAAGGCTCTCCACACACTTGCGACTGCCTCCGTCCGTTTACGTCCGTCTAATACCACCAAGCCTCGCCACCGCTCCCCCATATCTATTCTTCCCCTTGCCCGTTCCCCCACAGAACGCCCTCCCGCGTGCGCGGAGTTCCCGTCACCCTCGCGCCATCCAGGAGCGCGTCGTTCCGCGGGCGGCTCATTGCGGCGGCGCAGGAGGCACGGGAGGCGCGCGGGGAAAAGGCGGAGAGCAAGGCGAAGGGCGCGGAAGAGAGGGGCAAGAGGGCCGAGGACGGGGGACAGACGAGCGCAACGGCGGGCGCAACGAAATGTGCGGAGGCGGAAGCGGAAAACGCGAAGAGCGCGGAGAAGGGCAATGCTTCCGCGTCTGCCGCCCTTGGCTGCAGCGGCGCACAAAACGCGCGCGCGCAAGCGGAAGCGACGATCCGGAAGGAGGCGGACGGGAAAAGCGGAGACGCAGGCGGAATCGGCGGAGGCGGCGGAAGCGGCGGAGTCCGCGGAAAGGTGGAAGCGCAGGCGGTGATCCAGTCGTCGCCCGGCGGGCGATGCGTGATGGCGACGGTTTCGTCGCCCGCCGTCGCACAGGGGTCGATGCAGGCGACTGCGACAGCGAGCGCGTCGCTGTTCGAGCCGTCGCAGAATGCGCCGCCACTCTCCGCGAGTGCCGCCGGGAATGACGGGGGAAGGGCGCCTGTAGCAACAGCGACGGCGACTGCGACGGCAACGGCTAGTGCGAGGGTGTGCGTGGGAGACGGAACGAGGAAGGCAGAAGTTACGGAGTTGGTGGAGAAAGCACCGGTTGCCGGTGGTGGTGGGGCAGAGCAGATGCGTGCACCTGCTGTGACCCCTGCTGCAGCAGCAGCAGCACGGGAAGCAGCGGCAGCAACCATCCAAAGAGCACTAGCGGCGGCGCCAATTGGAGGGGGGTCAAGGACACCAGCAGCAGCACCCGCTGCACCCGCAGCAGCACCCGCAGCAGCAGGTGGCGTCACACGTGCCGAGTTCCCAAGTGAGCAGCCCACTGGTGTGTCCGCGTCCGCGTCCTCCTCTCTGCGTGTGTCTGACGTGTCATCTCCGGGCGGTAGCAGCTGCTCCACGTCAGCCACGCCCGGCGCGCAGCGGCCAGGTGGCAGGCTCCTAGTGTGCAACAACGCCCTTTTCATCACGTCGCCTGGCTCGTCCAGGGGTACCCCCGGCAATACCAATACGCCTGTAGCAGTAACGCTCGCACATACTGGCTTTGCAGGTGCCTCTGCTTCTGCTTCTGCGCTCACCCCTGTGCTCTCTGCTGCTTCTGCTGCTTCTGCTGCTTCTGTCTGTGGTGCTAGTAGTGATGGGAGTGGGACGTTCTTTGGGGCTTCTGCCGCTATGGGAGCGGTGAGTGGCGGCGCTGTCGTCGCTGCTGCTGCTGGTACTGATATCGGGCATGCTTGTAACGGAGATGGTGCTCCAGACCCTGCCCCTCCTGCTGCCACTCCTACTGCCGCTGATGCTCCTGCTGTTGCTGCAGACAGCACCAATACTGTTCATGCTGCTGATTCTGCCGCTGCCGCTGCTAGTGCTGCTGCTGCCTCCCCACCTGCATCCAAGCCAGTAAAGGCCTCCCAGCCATCGTCCCCTGCCATAGGGCGGGAGAACAAGGCGCCCTGTAACAACAACAACGGCGGCAGCACCGTCAGCAGCAGCATCAGCAGCAGCATCACAGGGATCCCCTCTTTCAGGCGCCACCACAAGCACAAGACACCGGCAGCAGCAGCAGCAGCAGCAGGTGCTGCTGCTAGCGCCAACGCCAGTGCAGGAAGGATCATCGGCAGCAGCAACGGCAGCAGCAGCACCAGTAGTCCCAGCCCTGCTGTCCCTGCGGTGCCTGCCGCGCCTGCATCTGCTCCTGCCAAGCCCGCTGGTCGGTCCCTGTGGCAGAAGATCACCGGCCTTGCCTCTGCTGCTTATGTCAAGAAGAGCCCTGGGAAATGGCAGGCTGTGCCGTCGTCACCAACACCGGGGGTTGGCTGCCCTGCGTCCGCGTCTTCTGTTCCTCCTGCTGCTCCCCCTGCTGCCGGTGCTGCTGGTTCTCCTGCTGATGGTGGGGGGGATGCTGCAGGGAGTGCTGATACGCCTGGTTGGTTCACGCCGCCTGTTACCCCAACGTCTGTTAGCCACTTCCGTACGCCTATTGGTGCTTCGCGGCTACCTGTGCCGCCAGGCTCAGCACCGCCAGGGCTGGCTTCCAGGCTCGGTGATCCTGCTTCGGTGGTTCGGCCTGGTTCGGTGGCAGCAGTTGTGAAGATACTAACTGCTAGCAATGGAAAGGTGGTGGCAGGAGGAGGAGGGAGAGAGGGAAGGGGAGGGGGAGGAGGAGGGGTGAGTCCTGGCTTTGGTGGTAGAGAAACGGGAGGGTTGGAGAGGAGGAGGTGGGGAGAGAGGGGTGCTTGTGTCGGGAACAGTCGTCTGGTGCGTCCCTTGGTGATGGCCTTTGAATCGGCTGCTGGTGCTGGCAGTGGTGGTGGTGGTGCTGTTGCTTCTTCTGCTGGTGGTGCTGCCGCCGCTAGTGGTATGGCTGGTTCTCCGAGGATGGACGGGAAGGAGAAGGAGAGGAGGTGGAGGGTGGGGATAGGAAGCGGGCCAGGGCTCCTCGCAAGGAGTAGGTCGGTGGGGAGTGTGAAGGGGGCATTGGGTGTGGTAGAGAAGGGAGAGGGGGTCAAGAAGGATCAGGAGAACTTGGGGGAGGGTGAGGTTCGGGAGCGGAAGGAAGAGGCTCCGCCGCTGCCGCAACAGGAGCAGAAGGAGCAGAGAGGGGAAGAGAAGACGGCAGCTCTTGCAAGGGAGGGAGAGGGTGCACGAAGGGATGGAGCCATGGAAGGAGAGGGCGTGAGCGCGGTTGGCGTGGTGAAGCAGCAGGTGGCGCAGCTGCAGGAGCTGATACAGCAGCAGAGAGGCGCGGAGGAGAGGGGGAAGGGCCCGGGGAAGGGGAAGGGGAAGGCGGAGGGGGCGGAGAGCGGAGCGGGGGGAAAGCAGCAGGGGGGCATTGTGAGTGGTGTGGGAGGGAAGGGAGTGAGGGCAGGGACGGGAGAGGGAGTGGGAGGGGGAGGGGGAGGGGGGTTGGTGGGTGGAGGGGGAGCGAGGCAGAAGGGTGGGATTCAAGTGCAGTCACGGCTGGGGTTGCCGAAGAAGAGCAAGGAGAGTGGGGAGACGAAAGAGGGAGGGGCGGGTGCTAGTGGGGCTAGTGCTGGCGGGAATGACATGGCTTCGAGGCTGAGGGAAAGGAAGGAGAAGCTGGAGATGGAGAGGAGGGAACGAGAGGAGAAACGGAAAGAGCTGGAGGTTCGGAGGGCGGCTGCTGCTGCTGCTGCCAGGCCTGCACCTGGCCCCTCTGCTGCAGCTGGCACCAGCCGCAGTGGAGCGACGGCTGTAGCAGGGAAGGCGGCAGCGAGAAAGCCTGTAGCAGGGAAGGCTGTAGCGGCAAAGGTGGTGCCTGGGAGGGTGGCCGGTGGGGTTGCGGCTGGTATGAAAGGTGGGGTTGGGGTTGGTGTTGGTGTAGGGGCGAAGCTGAGGCGAAAGTCAGTTGCTCCTTTGAGCATTCAGAAGGCAGTGATGCAGGGGGGCCGGGAGAGGAGGAGCAGGGAGGGTGAGAGGAAGGGCAAGGAGGAGCGTACGGAGCAGAGAGAGCCTGCTGCTGCTGCTGGTGCTGCTGGTGCTGCTGGTGCCTCTGTGGATGCTGGTGATGACCACCCAGGTTCTTCCAAGGCTGAAGCACAGGCGCAAGCACAGGCGCAGGCACAGGCGCAGCCACAACCTCAGGCACAGGCACAGACGCAGGCACAGGGACCAGCAACGGTGGCGCACACGTGCTCTGGTGGCCACCATCATTCCCATGCTGCGGGCGCAGCAGGAGCAGGAGGTGCAGGAGGAGCAGGAGGTGCAGGAGGTGCAGGGGTGAGATGTCGCAACCCCAAGTGTGCGGCGAACGATGAGAGCTTTGCAGCGCGGGCCAAGTTGCCTCAGAGGAACTTTCTGCGCGCCCGTAGCGGGCTGCAGCGAGTGACGGCACGCGGGGGAGGTGCACCCAGGGCAGGCGCCGCTGCTCCTGCTGCTGCTGCCCCTCCTGCTGCTGCAGCTGCTGCTGCGCCTGTCTCTCCTGCTGCCGTTGCCAGAGTTCCTGATGCTAGTCTAGTTGCCGGAGTCAGTGCTGGCCCCCAGTCAACGCAGCAGCAGCAGCAGCAACAGCAGCAGCAGCACGGGCAAGCGAGCTCACAGGCCCCTGCAGCAGCCACCACGGCTGTGACAACAGCTGCTGCTGCAGCGGCATTTGCGGCAGCAGCAGCAGCTGCAGCAGGAGGAGGGGGAAAGAAGAGGGCGGAGAGGGATATATCAGCGAGCTTGGACATAGGGCAGGTGAGCGGGATAGAGGAGATCGACCTGCTGGAGTTGCTGGGTCCAGACTCATATCTTGATGATGCTTATGACGGTGGGGATGGTGGGGATGGTGACGGTGGTGATGGTGCTGAGTCTGCTGCTCCTGTCCGCAGCACAGCAGTGCTGATTGCTGATGCTGACAGTGCTGCTCCCTCTCCTCCTTCTCATGCTGCCTCCCCTGCTGATGCTCCTGATGCTGAGGCTGATGCGGCCTCTTGTGCTGCTACCAGGGGTCACGTTAGCGGGGTGTCTGATTCTCGAAGCTCCTGCGGCAGCAGCGCTGTGGGTGCCGCGTCTGTTGCTCCTGCTCCTGTTCCTGCTGCTGCTGCCGCTGGCGCTAATGCTGCTGTAGCGGGAGAGGAAAACGGGAAGGCTGCTACTGCTCCTGCACCTGCTCCTCCTCCTGCTGCTCCAATCCCGCCTGACGTTGACTGTCCTGCACCATCAGCCACTCCCGTGCGAGTCAAGACCACACCCGTGCACACAGCAGCCGCACCGCATGCTACTGAAGCGGGTGAAGAGAGAATGAGGCGCAGCAGCGATGGGGGGAATTTGTTCACAGAGGCGACTGTCGAGGTGACGTCTACCCAGACGTGCACGCCTGGGGGGAGCATAGTGGAGAAGACGTGCATTGCTGTGTGCCAGACGACTGGCAAGAAGAAGGGGAGGAGTGCGGGAGAGGGGAGGAGCGGAGGTGAGGGGAGTGGGGCGCGAGTTGGTTTTGTGGGGATGGTGATGGAGGGTGGTGAAAGAGAGGTGAAGGTGGAGAGTGTGGTGGAGGGAGAGGGAGAGGGTGAGGGGGAGGGGGAGGGAGGGGGGGCACGCATGGTAACTGGCAACCACAGCAGCAACGGCAGCAATATCAGCGCCAACATCAGCAGCAGCAGCAGTTATGGTGCCAGGCAGGGGAGCCCGAGACGCAGCAGCAGCAGCAGCAGCAGAGGGGCGGGCAGGAGGAGGAGCCCCCAGGCAGTCATGTCTGGCGCACCCAAATGGGCTGTCTCCAGGTGCGTAGCTGTGCCCATGTGCCCATGTGCCCATGTGCCCATGTGCCCATGTGCCCATGTGCCCATGTGCCCATGTGCCCATGTGCCCATGTGCCCATGTGCCCATGTGTGTCCTCTCTTTCCCCATTCCCCGCTTAGTAAATCAAATGTGCTGGGCTGCCAACTCCTCATTTGTTGCGTTGCCCAACGAATTGCCATGGAGGTGCAGGGAATGGAGGTTGGGATTGGGGGTGATGTCTCGCCACTTGAGGCACCCGAAAAAACCGGTCTACCAACCCCTCATGCTACCGATCGCCCATTCATGTGCCTCTCTTTTCTTTTTCTTTTTTCCTCTCTTTTTTTTTTTGTTTTTTTGTTTTTTGTTTGGGCAGGGAGAGGAGGTTGAGGGTGCGGGTGACGTCTCGCTTCAAGGAGTACAAGCACACGGCAGCGAGGAAGCTCTCGCTGGTGGATAAGATGACCGCGCAGGCCCACGCCCATGCCCATGGCTCCCTCTCCAAGGTGCGTGCTTCCTCCTTCCTACTTGGCTCTTTCCCTTTCATGCTGTGGTGACATTGTGGTGCTTTCCCTTTCCGAATTAACGCTTCGTGGGGTTATTGCAGGAGCCATCCTGGTACCATCCCAGGCGGCCGAGCTTGTGGCAAAAAATAATATTGTTGTACACAACACATGCAACGGCTCACCCCCGTGGTTGTCTTGTGCTCTCGCTCACTTACCCCCCATTTCCCCCCATTTCCCCCCATTTCCCCCCATTTCCCCCATTTCCCCCATTTCCCCCATTTCCCCCCATTTCCCCCCATTTCCCCCATTTCCCCCCATTTCCCCCCATTTCCCCCCATTTCCCCCCATTTCCCCCATTTCCCCCCATTTCCCCCCATTTCCCCCATTTCCCCCCATTTCCCCCCATTTCTCCCCCATTTCCCCCCTTCCCCCATTTCCCCCCATTTCCCCCATTTCCCCCCTTCCCCCCATTTCCCCCCATTTCCCCCTTCCCCCCATTTCCCCCATTTCCCCCCATTTCCCCCCTTCCCCCCGTTTTTTCACCCACGATCAGGGCTGGTCCACGTCAGTGTACGTGAGCACGCCGGCAGGCAGCACAGAGGTGCATGCCACCATGCCAGGCTCAGCCACTCCAGCCTCGCCCTCCTCTGCTCGGCAGCTGCAGAAGGAGCATGCTGCTGCTAGCGCTGCTGTGTGCCCCAACACCACCACTGCTGCCACCACTGTTGGTGCCAAGGCACGCGACGCCTCTCCTGTGAAAAGGCTCAACCTCTTCCCTGCTGCAGCTGGGGCTTCAGATGCTGCTGGGGCAGGGGGGGGTTCCAGTGGGGTGAATGCTACAGCAGCAGCAGCAGACTCTTCAGCAGGGGGTGCAGCAGTGGGTGTGCAGGGACAGCAGCAGCAGCAGCAGCAGCAGCAGCAGCAGCAGCAGCAGCAGCAGATGCATGGTGGGTCACTCTCAGGTGACGGTAGCAGCAGCAGCAGCAGCAGCAGCAGCAGCAGCAATAGCAGCAGTATGTCTGTGATGGGTGGTGACTCTGGTAGCAGTCATGGGAGCAGTGGGGGGACGAGTGAGAAGGAGGTGAGAGTGAAGGGCGAGGAGGAGAAGAGGCAAGAGGAGGTGCCATGCAGTGGCAACGGTGCTTCAACTACCAATGCTGCCCCCGCTGCCACTGCTGCCACCGCTGCGTCGGCCACTGCTGCTTCTGCTGCTCGGCCTGCAGCATTCCAGCATCAACAGCAGCAGCAGCAGCAGCAGCAGCAGCAGCAGAGGGAGCATGGGTTTACAATGCCAGAGCCTGAGCTGTACCTCAGGGGACTGCCCCACTTCACATGTCCCGATGATGTGGTCCTCCACACAGACAGACGTGCCATGGAGCGACTGGCGTACGACATGCAGGTGAGGGCAGGTGCAGTTTCTATAGTGTAGGTAAGGCTATGAGTAGCTCTGAGTGGCAGTGGTGCATGCATGCGTGCATGCTTGATGATGTGGTGCTCCATACAGATAGACGCGCCATGGAGCGGCTGGCTTACAATATGCAGGGTACTGCCCCTCGTCGCAATGCCAAGACGTGCCATTACATTGCATTGTGTATCTTGCACCTGCTCTCCTCTAAAGACTTCGTGCGGTGTGTGTGTGTGTGTGTGTGTGCGTGCTTCCATGTGCCCTTCCCATTCTGTGGGCAGATTGCAGTGAAGCAGCAGCACGAGGAGCAGGCGAGGAGGGAGGACGAGCAGAGGCAGCGGGAGAGGGAGGAGGAGGAGGTGCGGCGGCTGCGGCAGCAGATGGTGCACAGGGCTCGACTCATGCCCTACTTTGGACGACCGTTCAAGCCAGTCAGGTAGCCTCGTGCCTGGTGCCTCGTGCCTGGTGGTAAGAGAGTGAGTAGCTCGTGCTTGCTCTGTGCAGTTACCTCCCCCATTCCCTCTCCCCCCATGACCTCTTCAACTCTCTCGTTGACCTCCTGCTCCCACTAACAGGTCCAGCAAGCGACCCACCATGCCGCGCTCCCCTCTGCTGCTCACCAACGCCAGACATGCAGGAGCAGCAGCAGCTCCGTAGCTCACTGAGGCGTCTCACGCCACTCCACCCAACAGACTGTCAGGGCAATGTGGGTGCTGTGCATTAGCATGATGGGGGTCAAGGTCAATGAAGAGTGTGTTGGTACAAGGGCTGCTGAAGTGGAGTCAGTAGCATAGCAGTCCCATGTACGCACCCCTTCCTCCCTCTCCTCCACCTTTTTGTTGCGTTTGGGAACTCAGCTGCTCTGTCTAGCCAAGGCGTCTTAGTATGGTGTAGGTAGTTAGTGGGTTTGAACAGTGAAGTAATGTGATCTTGTTGTGTATACTACTAGTGTAGCTCAGATAAGCAGCAACATTCTATTTCTGTGCAGAGAATCATTGGATATATGTGTTGTTTGTAGTGTTAGTATTGGATGGTGTAAGGAATTGGCATTTCCTTATCACGGGTTTTAGTTCTCAAACATGTGTATCTCTTATGTTTGCATAGATTGTATAGGGCCACCTCTTAGAGGGTACAACACTTGGGTATATTCATCTGTACTCTCTCTCTACTCATCATTCAGCTCTCACTTTGATATGGTATCACACGAAGGTTAGGATCCCCCACCTACCGCTTCCGCCCGTACCCTAGCTAGGCCCCGCCGCTTCCCCCTGGGCCCCGTCGCGCCTCCTAACCCCGTCGCGCCCCTCTTGGGCCCTGCCGCGCCTCCTGGCCCTGTCGCGCCCCCCTAGCCCCGTCGCGCCCCTCCTGGGCCCCGTCGCGCCTCCCTGGCCCCGTCGCGACCCCCTAGCCCCGTCGCGCCCCTCCTGGGCCCCGTCGCGCCCCCTAGCCCAGTCGCGCCCCTCCTGGGCCCCGTCGCGCCCCTCCTGGGCCCCGTCGCGCCTGCCTGGCCCCGTCGCGCCCTGCCTAGCCCCGTCGCGCCCTGCCTGGCCCCGCCGCGTCTGCCTGGCCCCTTCGCGCCTGCCTGGCCCCGTTGCGCCCTGCCCAGCCCCGTCGCGCCCTGCCTGGCCCCGTCGCGCCTGCCTGGCCCCGCCGCGCCTGCCTGGCCCCGCCGCGCCAGCCTGGCCCCGTCGCGCCTGCCTGGCCCCGCCGCGCCTGCCTGCCGCGCCTGCCTGGCCCCGCCGCGCCTGTCTGGCCCCGCCGCGCCTGCCTGGACCCGCCGCTCCTGCCTTGCGCCCGTCCCAGCCGGCCCCGCGCCCGCCCTTGCGACCTCCGCGCCCGTCTGCTCGGCCCCTGCGCCCGTCCCAGCCGGCCCCGCGCCCGTCCCGTCGACCTGGTGCCCGCTGCTTCTGGCCCCCGCGCCCGTCCTGCCCCGAGTTGTGTGCGGCCCGCTCGTCGTCCCTGCCCCGGCCCTGCATCCTCCCTGGTACGGTTCCCCATCCCTGCACCGCACTGCACCGCCCTGCACCGCACTGCACTGCACTGCACTGCACTGCACCGCAGTGCACGGTACCGTCCTGCACCACACAGCACTGCACTGTACAGTCCTGCACTGCTCCTGATGGCGGCGGAGCTTCGCTTCGACGCTGAAGGCCAGCCTCTGGAGTTCGAGGCGTGGCTCGCCGACCTCCGTTGCCACCTCACTGGCCATCGGCAGGATGGCCACCCGCTTTCCGCACACCTTGACGGTACGCCCCCCTGCCCAGACCCCCCTGCTGTTCTGCCCGCTGACCCCACACCCGCTGAGCGCGAGTCTACTGCAGCCACTGCCCTTGCGCGCTCTGTCTGGCTTTTCCGAGACGATGTCGCTCAGCTTGCCATTAGCAATGCCCTTTCCCCGTCCGAGCGCCCTCGCTTTAGGTCCATCACTACCGCCCAGGGTTACTTAGATGCTGTCATCAAGCGCTATTCCACCCCTCTGGCTGCCTCGTTGGTCGCCTGATCCTCCCGATGCTATTTCCTGACCTTGCATCTTTCCCCACTGTCTCTGACCTCGCTGCCCACCTACGCTCGATAGATGAGACCTGGCGCGCTGCCTGTACTGACGCACAGCTTAGAGCCCACCAGCCGCCCATTACCTCTACCCTTTACCTGCTTGCCATCCGCCTCCCTGACCGCCTTGCTGTCGCCCGCGACCACTTCCTTAGCATTCACCCCGCAGACCTCACCCTCACTGACTTTGTAGACACCCTGACTGTGATTGAGACCCGCCACCGCTCCATCACCCAGGCGAGCGGTACCGTGCCAGTCCCTATCTTTCAGGGTTGTGCCCCCGCTCAGTGTACCTTCTCCAAGGGTTCTGTCGCTGTGGCTGAGACTGTTGCTGCAGTGCAGTTTCGTTCGGGGAAGGGCCGCCGCCCCAAGGTTGGGCGCGGCGGAGGAGGCGGGGGTGCAGGAGGGGGTGGTGGTGGAGTCGGGTCGTCTGGTGCTGGAGCGGACGAGGGGACCTTGCCCAGTCCAGTTGAGCCGCCGCCTCCGCAGTCGCCGCAGCAGTCGCAGCAGCCGCCGCAGACGAGGCAGGCGAGTGTCCTCCCGCCCAGGTGGCCTGGCGCTGGAGGTGGTCGGGCGCGTGGTGGTGTGCCGAGTGGTGGTTTGGGAGGCGTGCGTTGTCAGTACCAGATCCAGACCGGTCCTCGCCGCGGCTTCGTTTGCGGTAAGCTCGGTCATACCACTCCTCGCTGTTTTCGTCGCCTGGACGACCTGTTTCGTCAGCGCTTCGGCTCGTCGCCACACCTTCCGGACTGGCACAGTTTGCTTAGTCGTAGGATTCAGATTTTTGACATGGACATGGATGCCATTGTTTCTGCTCTGCATGTGATGTATGCTGATGACTCTAGTGCGCTTCCTGCTTATTACTCACAGTCGTCTAGTGTACGTGTGCCTAGCTTAGCCTCCACTGCTGCGTCAGGCGTAGGATCCCCTACTTTGTTTAGCCGTGGTGCTTCCGCCGTCGCCCCGTCGCCGGACGCCACTGCTTCGCTTTCCTTCACCTTGGACTCTGGCGCTTCCCGGTGCTTCTTCCGCGACTCTACTACACTGACGCCGCTTCCTGTTCCTGCTGCCGTTTCTCTTTCTGACCCCTCCGACAGTCCAGTAGTCGCCCGCAGTTCCACCACCCTTCCCTGTCCGGCGGTTCCTTCGGGCTCTCTCACAGGTCTCCATATCCCCTCGTTCTCCAGGAACCTAGTTGGTGTTGGCTGCCTCCAGGACCTTGGCGTCACCACTACGTTCCCTGGTCACGAGCGGTATACTGTCTGTACCGAGGCTGCCACTGGTGCCCCCTTTCCACGTTCCCCCGGGACCCGGTGTCCGGCCTGTTCACCCTGGACACCGTTTCCCCCCAGGCTGGGGCGCCCCCTCAGGTGGCTGCATCTACCCAGGTTGCTGCTGCCTGCTCCTGTCGGTCCCTCACTCACCCGACTCTCCTTTGGCACCACCGCCTAGGTCACCCTACGCTCCCGCGTCTGCATCACATGTCCCAGCACGGTCTCGTCCTTGGTCTCCCTGGTTCTCTCCCCGCTTTTCCCTCCTCCCTAGCCCCACCTTGCACGCCTTGCGTCGAGGGTCGGCTTCGCCGTGCCCCTCACTCCTCCTCGTTTCCCCCTACCGCTGCGCCGCTGCAGACCCTGCACATGGACGTCTGGGGCCCCACCCCATCCATGGGCCGCGTCGAGAGCGCTACTTCCTTGTGCTTGTCGACGACTTCACTTGCTACACCTTGGTCTTTCCCCTAGAGCGGAAGGCCGACGTGCCTGCCGCTCTCATCCCCTGGCTTGTCTCTGCCCGTGTCCACCGAGGACTCCCTGTCTTGCGCCTTCACTCCGACCGTGGTGGCGAGTTCTCCTCACGTGTCCTTGGTCGCTTTTGTCGTGCGGAGGGCATCACCCAGACGTTCACCCTACCGGACTCCGCACAACAGAATGGGGTCGCTGAGCGACGCATCGGTTTGGTCATGGAGGTGGCTCGCACCTCCATGATCCATGCCGGTGCACCCCATTTTCTGTGGCCGTTCGCTGTGCGCTACGCTTCTCACCAGCTTAACCGTGGCCGCACCCCCAGCAGGCGCATGTTTCGCCGACCCGTCTTTGGACTAGGTCTCCTGGTGACGCGTCTGCGTTCCACGTCTGGGGCTGCCTTGCTCACGTTCGTGCCTCTGGCACGGACAAGCTCACTGCCCGCACCTTCCCGGCATCTTCCTCGGTTTTCCCCTTGACGCGTCCGACTGGCACTTCTACCACCCGCCGTCTCACCGCTTCTTTCACTCTCGCGACGTCACCTTTGACGAGTCCGTCTCCTACTACCGTCGCTTCCCCCACCGCGGTCCTCCGGTTACCCCCCCCTGTTCCTGGTCACTCCTTCCCCGGTAGTCCCTGCCCCTCCCCCTCCTCCTCCTCGTCCTGCCCCCTCTGGTGTGTCCCACGTCACCCCTCTTCCGTCGGTGGTCCCGGTTGATGAGTCTTCTGACTCTGGTGGTCCTGCGGCGCAGTCCTCGCTGGCTGCCCCTCCCCAGGCGTCCCTCCTCCACCGCCTCTGCCGCCGCTATCGCCCCTGCTGTCGCAGCCGTTGTCACCTCCGCCGCCGCCGCCGCCGCCGTCGCAGCACCCGTTCGTTGACTCTGGGGGTGCTGGCGTTGGAGTGCGTGCTAGTCCCGGTACCCCTGGGGGTGGTACCGGTCCTCGAGGGGTTTCGGGCCCTGGAGGTGTTCCCTCTGGGGGTGCTGGCGTGGAGTGTGCCGGTGGTTGCCGAGGAGCAGCTTGCGGTCCCGGTGTCGGCGATGTGCCGCCGCAGCAGCAGTCCCCGCCGGTGTCAGCCCTTCGCCTGCTCGGCCTTCCGTCCCCTGACCCTGCTGTCTGTTTCCTCTCCGACCGTCTCCTCCTCTTCCCGTGTACGGCCATGTGTTCCCTCCGCCGGACTCGTCCCCGGCTCGTCTTCTCCTCGTTCCCCCCTGTGTCCCCTCCCCTGTCTCCTGACCCGACTCCTCCGTCTCACGTCTGGTCTCACCGTCTCTCCCGTGCTCGTCCTGCCTCCCCTGTCTTGCGCTCCCACCCTATGCTCGTTCCCGTCTCCCTTCTCCCGTCGCCTCCTCCGTCCTCCCTTGTTGTTGCACCCCCCCCTCTGTCTGACTACCTTCGTGCCGCTCGTCCTCTTGTTCCTCGGGTCCTTGCCTCTCTCGTTATCGACCTGTCTGTTCCGGTCTCGTGCCTTGACGCTCTGGTAGCTGCGGTCGCTGACTTCGCCTCTACCCGCCGCCTTGACTATGCCACTTCTCTGGTCTCTGACCCTGCCTGTCCACCGTCTGTTGGGGGTGCTCTTGCCCTCGGCAGTGACGTTCTAGCGGGACAGCAGTATGAGCTTGCTTTCCTTTCCGAGGCCGCTCCCCATCTCTGCTCCATGCTGCTAGTCCCTGAGGGTGACCCAGACGCTTTCGACATCCCGACCCCTCGCACTTACGCTGAGGCGACCTCGGGACCTGGGCCTCGCAGTGGATAGCTGCCATGGAGCAGGAGATGGCATCTTGGAGATCCACCGGCATCTTCGTCGACGCAGTTCCCCCAGGTGGGGTGAACGTAGTCGATGGCCGCTGGCTCTTCAAGGTGAAGCGTCCTCCTGGAGAGCCGCCTGTGTTCAAGGCGCGCTACGTGGCTAGAGGCTTCAGTCAGCGTGAGGGGGTGGATTTGTTCCAGACCTTCGCTCCGACCCCGAAGATGACTACTCTTCGGGTTCTGTTACACCTAGCTGCTCAGCGTGAGTACGAGCTTCACTCCCTCAACTTCTCCACTGGTTTCCTTCAAGGCAGCCTACACGAGCATGTCTACCTGCGTCGCCCTCAGGGCTTTACTGGCACCTTCCCTCCTGGGACCCTGTGGCTCCTGCGGCGTCCCGTCTACGGCCTGCGGCAGGCTCCCCGTGAGTGGCACGACACGCTGCGTGCTACCCTTGCTGACCTGCAGTTCTTTCCGTCTTCCGCAGACCCCTCACTCTTCGTTCGTGCTGGCCAGACTCCGTTCTACATCCTTGTTTACGTGGACGATCTGGTCTTTGCCACTGCAGACAAGGATGCACTAGCCTCGGTGAAGGAAGAGCTGCTGAAGAGACACACTTGCACTAACCTTGGAGAACTGCGCCGTTACCTTGGCTTACAGATCTCCAGGGACAGAGCAGCGCGCACCATCACCTTGACTTAGTCACACTTGGTGCGCCAGGTCCTTCAGAGGTTCGGCCTTCAGTTCTCTTCTGCACAGCCCACCACTCTGCCTGTGGACCACAAACTCTCCGCTCCAGTTCCTGAGGAGTCAGTAGAGCCTAGTGGCCGTTACGCAGAGCTGGTGGGTTGCCTCATGTACCTGATGACTTGCACTTGCCCAGATCTCGCATACCCTCTCAGCATCCTGGCTCGCTTTGTGGCCACAGGCAGACACCGACCGCAGCAGTGGTCTGCCGCTAAGAGGGTTTTGCGTTATCTTGCTAGTACATCAGGCATGGGGTTAGTGCTAGGAGGACGTGGGCCAGTGGTCCTTACTGGACACACAGACGCTTCGTGGGCAGACGACACTGAGACGCTCAGGTCTACCCAGGGCTACTGCTTCAGCCTTGGCTCAGGTGCCGTCTCGTGGAGAGCTACCCGCTCCTCGTCTGTTGCCCAGTCCAGCTGTGAGGCCGAGATCTACGCTGGTGCCATGGCGACACAGGAGCTCCGCTGGCTGACCTTCTTGCTCACTGACTTAGGTGAGCGGCCTAGCTCTGCCCCGGTCCTGTTCGCTGACAACAGGGCCATGATCCTCCTGTGTCAAGAGCCTCGACTCGAGGGCAGAGCGAAGCACATTCAGCTGCGATACTTCCTCCTGCGCGAGCTACAGCAGCGACGCCAGGCTCGCGTAGTACACTTGGCCTCATGTATCAGAATTGGAATTGAATTGATTGGTAAAGTGAGAGTACACACAAATATACCTAAGTGTTGTACCCTCTAAGAGGTAACCCTATACAGTCTATACAAACATGACATGACAAACACGAAAACCGAGCGCGACGGGCCGGGCTGGGGCGACGGGCCGGCCGAGTGCGGCAGGGCCGGGCCGGTGCGACGGGGCCGGGCGAGCGGGACGGCGGTCGGGCGGGTGCGACGGGGCCGGGCGGCTGCGACGGGGCCGGGCAGGGTGGGACGGGGCCGGGCGGGGCGACGGGGCCGGACGGCTGCGACGGGGCCAGGCAAGGGCGACGGGGCCAGGCGGCTGCGACGGGGCCGGGCGGGCGCGACGGCGCCGGGCGGGTGCGACAGGGCCGGGCGGCTGCGACGGCGCCGGGCGGGCGCGACGGGGCCTGGCGGCTGCGACGGGGTCGGGCAGGGTGCGACGGGGTCGGGCAGGGTGCGACGGGGCCCAGGAGGGGCGCGACAGAGCCCAGGAGGGGCGCTACGGGGCCTGGGCGGAGCGCGACGAGGCCTAGGAGGGGCGCTAGGGGGCCTGGGAGGAGCGCGACGGGGCCTGGGAGGGGCGCGACGGGGCCTGGGAGGGGCGTTACAGGGCCCAGGAGGGGCGCTACGAAGCCCAGGAGGGGCGCGACGAGGCCCAGGAGGGGCGCTACGGGGCCCAGGAGGGGCGCGACGGGGCGCTACGGGGCCTGGGAGGAGCGCGACGGGGCCTGGGAGGGGCGCTAGGGGGCATGAGCGGAAGCGGTAGGTGGGGGGGATCCTACCTGTTCAAATTATATAAGTTATAATTTAATATTGGCTTGGTAGGTTGTTACTGAACCTTTCTGTAGGGGGTACAAACCCCTCCTTGTACTCCCCTCTCTTCTAATCCAACACCTTTTCTCTCCTCAACTTTCCTAGCACCTAAAACCTCTCGCCATTCTCATGGCTCCTCCTAGCTCCTAGCTAAACCTTGTGCCATTCTATGGCTTCCTAGCTAAGCTAGTTTCTGACATGGTATTAGAGCAGTTCGTTCCGCGTGGGCCTGCTCCTCGCGTTTCCGCTGCGTGCTCGTTTCTCTCTCTATCTCGCGCTGCCATGGCGGCCGCGTCAAGCTGCTGTGGCCGCGTCGTCGTGCCGCGGCGCCGCCGTCGACGTCCATGGCGCCCGCGTCCAGCTGCTGTGGCCGCGCCGTCGTGCCGCAGCTCCGCCGTCGCGTCAAGATGCTGTCGCGACGTGACGGCGCCGTCACGCTGCCGCGGCGTCTACGCGACAGCGCGCGGTCGGCGTAACGGCGACGTCGTGCTGCCGTCGCAACGTCGACGCCCCGCTGCGGCATCGACGCCGCTCCATGACGGCGTCGTCGGGCTGCAGCCGGCCGCGTGACGCTTGTGGCGCCGCTAGACCGGCCGCCCGCATGTCAGCCTGTGGCGCCCCCCCCCCCCCCACCCCCCTCCTTCCCTTGTGCCCTCTTCCATTCCGCAGACGACGGCTGACTCCCGCCGGCCGTCCCACCGTCGCGGGCCTGGCCACGTCACCGAGAGGTGCGGGTGCCGCCGCCGCTGCCGCTGTTGTCGAAGCCGCCGCCGCCGCCGCTGTCGCCGCTTGCGTCGGGGCCACGCAGCCGCACGCCGCCGCCGCCGCCGCTGTCGACACTGCCGCCGCTGCCGCCGTCGCCGCCGCAGCCCTTGCGGTCGACGTCGCCGCCTCACGCGCCGTGGGGTCGACCGACCTAGAGTCGCTGTCACTGTGGCTGGAATGGGGGTGCTAGGTTAGGGGGTGTGGGTGTGTGTGGGCATGTGACTACCAAGCCTAGGGGGTGTGTTCAAATTATATAAGTTATAATTTAATATAGGCTTGGTAGGTTGTTACTGAACCTTTCTGTAGGGGGTACAAACCCCTCCTTGTACTCCCCTCTCTTCTAATCCAACACCTTTTCTCTCCTCAACTTTCCTAGCACCTAAAACCTCTCGCCATTCTCATGGCTCCTCCTAGCTCCTAGCTAAACCTTGTGCCATTCTATGGCTTCCTAGCTAAGCTAGTTTCTGACACTACCTACGCTCTGATACCATATCAGAATTGGAATTGAATTGATTGGTAAAGTGAGAGTACACACAAATATACCTAAGTGTTGTACCCTCTAAGAGGTAACCCTATATAGTCTATACAAACATGACAAATACAAATGTTTCACATCAGGTGCCAACACAGCTGATATCTTTACGAAGGCGCTTGCGCCTACAGATCATCAGCGGCACTGTGTACAGCTTGGTCTAGTTCATGTAGCCTCTCACTTGCTAGGGCCTTGACTTTGTACTGTCCTTCATTTGTGCACTCAGACTGGACTTGTGTCCTCTCCCAGTGGCTGGACTAGTAGTGCCGCCCTGGTCTTGTTCTTGCCTTGTCTGTACTCCTTCTGACTGGTCTTTTAGACCCTTGTCTCTGAGGCTGGACTAGTAGTGCCGCCCTGAGCTGATTGTTCAGGACCTGCCCCTAAGCAGTCTAGGGGGTGTGTCAAACATGTGTGTCTCCTATGTTTGCATAGACTGTATAGGGCCACCTCTTGACTAACACCACTCCAAGCATCAAATCCTCAAAAAGAGTGCCAGAACAACGGCCAATTACACAAAATACAAAAAACAATGCACTGTCTCACACGCCCAATTATTTCAAGCAACCTTTCCTAAGCAGCAGAAAGTCTATTGTACACATCCACAGAAACACCATCCACAGAAACCACCAACCCCCCCAGCAAACACCTTTCACAGAAGCAAGAGCATCGTCCGCAAGCCTATGATGAGACCATAACCCCTTCTCAGCAAATTGTGCGATGCATGTCACACAGGGCATGCCATGCCCTGTACTGGTTAAACCGAGCCTGGTGGACCTGCAATGGACCGGGGTTGAAGGGAGAATGTGGCACGGTTTGACGAAGCATTTGAGCTGCGCAAACAGAGAGAAACATGTGCAAACGCCTGAATGCATTGTTCCAGGATCCTCAAACCAGCAAGAAGCCCTCTGCAGCCAAGTGCGAACTCGGCTGAGAGAGACAGAAGAGGTTATTTGAGCGTACCGCAGTCGAAGCCAATGAAAGCGAGGGCACTGCTGCAGCGAGTGCGGGCACAGTAGTCAAAGACCGTGTCCTCCGCTGCTGCCTTGAGAGGAGCAAAGCCCGCCGGACACGAGCACGTTGCGGGCGAGCCGTCAGCGGGCGATGTGCAAAGTGCTTCGACAGGGCAGGCTGCTGGCACCATGCACTTGCGAGCAACTGGGGAGAGAAGGTGGGGATGGAAGGAGAGAGGAGGGGTGGGGGACGAGATTAGAGAGGGGTGATAGCACCATGGGTGATAGCACCATGGGTGATAGCCCAATGGATGATAGCCCAATGGATGATAGCCCAATGGATGATATCACCATCTTACTCTCGGGGTCACCCCCCTTACCCCCTTACATGGGCCAAACCGGGGACACAAAGTATGCAGGCTCTAACAGCAACTCACTCGTGCACAATGTGTCGCCTTGCTCCCGCAAGCACAAGCAGCCTCTGACGACCAAGGCGTCTCCAGTGCTGGCCCTTACATGAGGCAGTCCGTTCATAAATACAAATTACTGACTCGAGGAGCATGGGTCTTAGCAATATGAGTCATACACCAGCAACTCACTCCTACACAGTGGGTCGCCTTGCTCCCGCAGGCACGAGCAGCCTCCCACGTCCAGGGCGTCTTGAGCACGTACCCCTTACATGGGCAACAGTGGCCGCAGGTTAAACTGAGGAGAGCAACATGGGCAATAGTGACCGCAGGTATAACTCACTCGTGCACAATGGGTCGCCTTGTTCTCGCAGGCACGAGCAGCCTCCCACGTCCAGGGCGTCTTGACAGACGAGCGGCGTGAGGCACTTCTGGCGCACGCCCAGCTTGCACATGGCAGCGCCTGGTGGTAAAGAAGGGGTGACGGAGAAGCGGTGACGGTAAAGGGGGAAGGAGGAGGGGAGAGGGAGATGTTGAGGCGCGTTACACACAGCTTAAGGGACGTGAGGCAGTTGTGGCGCACGCCCAGCTCGCACATGGCACCAGCTGGCGGTAAAGAGGGGGGAGGAGGAGGGGAGAGGGACGTGCTGAGGGGCGATACTCGTCTCCTCTGCTGCACGAAATTACACACAGCTGAAGGGGCGAGAGGCACTTCTGCCGCAACCCCAGCTTGCACATGGCAGCGCCTGGAGGGAAAAGGGGGGGACGGGGGAAAGAGGGAAGGGGATGGGGGGAAGAGGGAAGGGGATGGGAGAAAGGGGCATGCTGAGGTGCGCGAGGCACATGGTACACACAGCTGAAGGGGCGCGAGGCACAGAAAAAAGAGAATGAATGGCACAGGAAAGCAAGCATGTTGCATTGACTCTACACTCAGGGTCTACACCCAGCAATCGCGGTCTACACCAGTAACTTCCGCACCGGAATCGCCGAACACATCGGCTGATAGCGAGGACACCGTCGCAGCCGCACCCCCTCCCCCGCTCTTGGAGATCGATTTTCTCTTCTTCTTCGGCGGCTTTTTCTTGGGCTTTTTCACAGGCGCTTTCGTTGGGGGAGGCGGACGCGGGGGGGCGGGCGCGGGGGAGGCGGGTTCGGGGGAGGTGAGGATTGTGTCTTCGGGGGCGGCGGGGGCGGAAGGGCAGTAGCGGAAGGATCTGAGCCGGAGTCAGCGGGGAGATCCGCGGAAGCTTCTTTGGCGCCTGGCGGGGAGAGGGTGGCGGATGCGCTAGGAAGGACGGGCGGAGGCGGGCTGCTTATAACGGGTACAGTGACGGGCGGAGGCGGGCTGCTTATAATGGGTACAGTGACGGGCGGAGGCGGGCTGCTTATAACGGGTACAGTGACGGGCGGAGGCGGGCTGCTTATAACGGGTACAGTGACGGGCGGAGGCGGGCTGCTTATAACGGGTTCAGTGACGGGTGGAGGCGGGCTGCTTATTACGGGTTCGGTAGGAGGATGCGTCCTGCTTGCAGTAGAGTCGACAGTAGGAGGAGGCGGGCTGCTTATAACGGGTTCAACGACAGGAGGTGGGCTGCTTATAACGGGTTCAACGACAGGAGGTGGGCTGCTTACAACGGAGCCAGGAGGAGGCGGAGAAAGAGTGTTCGCGACTGCTATCGCAAGCGGGGGCATCGGGGGAGGGGGGGAATCCACAGGGGGAGGCGGAGAATTCACAAGGGGAGGCGGGGAAAATATAGGGGGAGGGGAAAGAAGGGGTGAGGGCGGAGGCGGGGGGGAAGGGGGTTTCGAGGGAGAGGGCGGAGGTGGGGGAGAGGGCGGAGGCGGGGGAGAGGGCGGAGGCGGGGGACTTGGGGGCTTGGGGGAGGAGGCGGAGATGGCGGGAGCGGAGGGTTGGGCGGCGGAGGGGAGGAGACCAGCGGGGGGGAGACAAGGCTAGCGGGGGCGGAGAGGAGACAAGCGGAGGAGGCGAGGCAATCAGGGGAGGCGGAGAAGCGACGAGCGGAGGCGGAGAAGCGACGAGCGGAGGCGGAGAGGACACGAGGGAGGCGGGGAGGCCACGAGGGGAGGCGGGGAGGCCACGAGGGGAGGCGGGGAGGCCACGGGGGGGGGGGGGGGAAGAGACGGTGGCGGAAGCGGTGGATTGATCCACCACCAGGACAGTGCTCCCGGGGGGAGACGGGGGAGACGGGGGAGGGGAGGACGAGGCGGAGGCGGTTTCGGCGGACTGGGCGGCGGCTTCGGCGGCGGAGACGGCGGCGGCGGTTTCGGCGGGGGGCTCGGCGGCTTCGGCGGCGGCGGAGGGGAAGGCGGTTTCGGCGGAGGCGGCGGCTTCGGCGGCTCGGCGGCGGCTTCGGCGGAGGGGACGGCGGCGGCGGCTTCGGCGGGCTTGGCGGCTTAGGCGGGGGCGGCGGGGATGGCGGAGGGCGCGGTGGGGAGGCCTCGGGGGAGGCGGGGACGGCGGAGGCGGCGACGGCGGCGGGAGATTCGCGACGAATTTCTGCACGCAAACGGCGCTGGCGAAGAAGCTCAGCCCCGCCTCGGTACTCCCGAGGGGGACGAATCCCGTCGAGTCGGTCTCGACCGCGCCGTCCGCCGCCAGCGGCATCGCGTACACGCCCTCCGGAAGCGCGAGCAGCGCCAGCGCCGGGCTGCTGGGATACACCGCGAGCTGCCCGCCGTCGAATGCGGCGGTGGAGTATTGAAACGGGCCTAAGTACGCCGCCGAGGCGCATCCTCCGGTCTCCGTGTAGCCAATAGCGTCCATAGTTCCCAAATAGGTTTTGCCCTGCGACGCCATCAGTGTCGACGTGCCGCCGTAGTTCGCGGCGCTGGTTACCAGCACGTTCTTATTCGCTGGATCCACGCCGAGCGACCCGGGCGTGCCTGACGTCAGCACCGTTGTCGATAGCGGCGCCGGGAGCGCGGTTCCCGCGAGCGGAAAGCGCGTAGGTGTAGAGCACGTTAGAGTCGTACCGGAGAACGGCTAAGAAGCCGCCGCCGGGAGAACAGACGGCCTGCCGAGCCGCGTACGGCGCCGAGAGCATCTTAATCGCCGAGGCGGCGTTAAAGCTCCCCGTCAACGGGTCTATCGGCACGATTACCACCACGTCAGAATCGTCGGCCGTGACGTGGCACGTCAGGATGAGGAAATCCGGCGGGGGAGGCGGTGGGCGAAGAGCAGAACGAAGCGGATAGGCACTGGTATCCCGCTCCGACGAGTTTCGTCGACGCCCCCGTCTCCCGGTTCACGGAAACAGCACCCGCGGCTGAATCCGACCCATCCGCTACAACCAGAAGATTCTCCGAAGCTCCCCCGAGCGCCACAACCGTACCCGAGAAGCCGCCTGGGAGCGATACGGGCTGTAGCGGCACGGCGCCGTCTAGGGTGTAGTTAATCGCGTTTAAGTACGAGCCGCCCGACGAGATGTAGGCCGTGCCGTCCGTCGCGACGCCGCAGGAAGTGAGCTGCGCATTCGGGTTGCTGTCGGCTAGTCCCGAGTCGCCTATTTCGCGGCGCGTCCGGAGATTAACCTCCCATGTCCGGGGACGTCGTGTCGCCTGTGAGAGGGTCGTACACGCCGCCGGCTACTATCCCTACCGGGAGGCCTATTGCGAGTATTGGCAGAATGCGGGGGACGGGAGAAGCGCGACGGACAGGAGGAGCAGGAGGAAAGGCGCCGCCGCGATTGCCGCTGCCGGTCCACGTGGCGGTCCCACGTGGTGGCCCGGCGGCAGCCGCACAGCCATTGCACGGCCGCAAGGCTGGAGTCGTAAGCTAAGAGGGTCTCATTCGGAAGGGGCGGCGGGTTGTGCGGCGGATTATGCGGCCAATGGCATGCACACAAAGCAGGTGCAGGCAGGGTGGGTCGTTTGGAAGTGGAATCTGGAGGAGATGTACAACAAGGTGCGGACGAGAGGTAGGGCGAGCCAGTCAACAGGAAACTGAGCTGTGCGACTGGGATGGGTGGGGTGGGGTGGGTGGATGGATGGAATGTGTTGAGTTGAGTTGTGACTCAGGCAGGACCGACACGACGACAACAATGTTGTGAAACTGAAGAAACAAATTCTGCATCTGCGGCAGTACACTGTACGTACAGAACCAAACAGTACAGTTGTACAGTACCAATCCCCTTCACCTCTGCTCTGGAGCTGATGCCCCGCAACTCTGTCATGCGACACATTCCTTCACAGACCAGCGTGATCGATCTGTTGTACTGTACTGACCGACTGATGCCCCTCATAGTAGCGCAGCCCAGCGAAGTGGTGGCGGCCCTCTCACACGCACCTACACCAGGGTGCACACCTAAGGCTCAGCTCAATACGTGGCCCAATAAGAAACCATCGCCCATTAGCGTTGGCACATGGGCAACGGCCCACTCAACGTGGGCCGTGAACAGAGCCAACAGTGGCAGCGGTCATCATGACAGCGGTGACGAACATGCGGCACAAGACGAAAGATGTGCGCCGCAACCGTTTTCGCCACAAACTTCCAGCCCCGCTCAGAATAGCGCTCCGGCGAAGCTCAGCGAGCCTTTCCTTGAGCTCGCACAGGTGCGCACGCCTTGCTGGGTTTGTTTGTGGCTTGAGCATCGCCGCATGAAACCGAACGCTGACTTGGCAGGGAAATGGAGTCGCGATGTCCTGATGCCAGGGGTCGTTCTCAACATCCGACAACCAACCAAGGAACAAACCCGAAAACAGATTCCCACAATCCACGCAACAGTTAGTTTTGCGACGCGAACCTTCAATTCGTGATGTCATAAATCTTTAGAACACGCCCCTAACAATTGGAACTGAAATGCGACTCCAAACCCTCGCCATATTTCACTGAGTATAAAAGGGAGCAAACCAAACCAGAGAAACTCACTCAACATCTCACCCGCCAACCACCACTCTGGTGCTACACCAGAGAAACTCACTCTTGCTTGAAAGCTCCGAAATTTAACACAGGGTAACTAAGTGAAAAATGGCTCGCCAAAATATGCCGCTCAAACCTACCCCGTAAAAAATCAAAACGGTAACCTTCGTGCCCATGCGAAAGGCCCACATGCCCATGACGATGCCGTGCTAAACCCCTGCGCGTTTTTGTCTACCGGCACCCTGAAAAGCTGTGTTCCTCTGTCAGGCTCAAGGTGTACTTTGTTTCGAGTCGTCCTCGCAAGGGTCTCTTACTTTGTGATGACTGAACCATGACAGGAGAGTGGGGTGGGGTGGTGGGAGAGGGACGAGTTGTTGCGTGGGAGGGAGGGGAGGTGACAGCAAAATGGGGCTGAATTCAACTCAAGTCTCTTGCTGTGGTGCATGCAGTGCCAGGCATTGCCCGCTGTTGTGGGGACCTTTGCCATGAAAGAACGGGTGAGATGAAGGTCGCAGTCGAGATCGACGGCGATGAAAGGACTTGCTACATTTTTCGTGCTCGGTGCACCGCAGATTGGGGCAGACTGTGGAGGCTGGATTTGACGGAGTTGGTTAGGGGCGGCTCGTGTGGCGGGTGTCCTGTACGTTGGAAATCTGTATGGATCGTCACCTGCCCCTTCCCGTCCCGAATCGCAGACTGTCCCGTGGCAGCGGTTTGGCTGGTTTGGGCTGAAGGGCCAATATGGAAGGAGCGAAACCAAACCAACGCTTTCGGGAGGAATTTGCTATGTTCAATATTCTGGGATATTTGCTAAAGTTTCCTGCAAATGGTGGTGCGAAAAATGGTATGGTTAGGAAATGAGAGAATAATTATGTGCAGTTATGGGACAATCGTTTTTTCTTTCGCCAGGCTGGAAATAGGACCTGAGGGCTTCACGCAGGTGGCTGTCACACTGGCCTGGCTGGACAAAACTGTGCCTCTCAGGTGGGTAACCCCACCAACATGCAGAGTCAGGACAACGAATGGCAAATGAGCACGAATAGACTGACTCGACAGCCTGATTGAAAATACGCGAGTGTAGATAAATGCGCGTGTGTATTAATAAACCATTTAATATTTGGGGGTTTCTTTTGAGATTATCGCGTGACTCTCAGAGCACCCTGGCATTCCTCGTGTCACCTGCCAGCGAGGAATCTCGTCATCCAACCAATAGAAGCTCCTGCAGGCTGATCTGAAAGCCAGCGCTGGTTTTGTTACAGTCCCATGGCCTGCCTCACCCTGTCCACGTGTACCTAGATGTCAAACCTACTTCCAAGCCATTCACGAGCCTGCTCCACCTAGTGTGTCCTGCCAGGCCAAACCACTCCCAAAACCAGCCTTCCTTTCGGTATTCCCGCCAAGTCCCCTCGGTATTATCTGCGTCCCGAACCACTCCTTGTCAGTCAAGTTTGTCTGACAAAAGATGTCGCTTGCACTCAAGACTGGCATTTATCTTGTAGGTCCTGAACTATTTATGACGTAATTAGGAGTATGAACTTCGAATTCAGCTCAGGAATAGTTCACCCAGCGTGACAGGCGTGTACCTTTTCCTTGAGGGTCAGGTCCAATCCGCTAGTCGTGGCACGGAACGTTCACGTCCTTCCGAACGTTGCCGTCGCGCACGTCCTCTCGTGCATTTGCGTGCGAACAAGGATGTCAGGCGCAAAGAAGCTCATAAATGACCCGTCAGGTGTGGACCAATCAGCTCCAGAGTCGCATCGTCCAGATTAGTACGCAATTCCCGCTTTCCGCTCTAAAAAAGGCATTGTCAGGCTAGGTTGAGGCACCTGAATTCTCTTAGAGAATACGTTGTTCAGGAAGGTTTTTCATATCTCTTTATAATGGCCCTACGTTGTCCCCAATTCCCGATCTAAGCGCTGCGCAGATGTGGTCCTCGAGATGATCGAGGCTTGGTGGAGACCTACCCCAACCTGCAAGT